GTTTCCATAGTCCCTCCCCATTGGTGATCCTGAGTTAAAACTAGTGAGAGTTGTAGGTGGCAGAAACCTGGAGGAACATGTTTGCTAATCTGGCTTCAGAAGCTGCAGAGATTCACCTGCACATGCATGCATCTAAACAAGGTAGCAGAGATGACTTCGCCACTTCAGGCTGCAAGTCTGTCATCACATTTACATGCCGCCTTGTATGTAACAAGGAGAAATGTAATATAAGAAGCAGAAAACTAGCAAACGTTTATCTCTGGTAGAATTATAAATTGACAGGGAACTCTCCAGGTGCAGAGGTGTCTTCTTTCATTTTATGGTGCATGCAAGTTTTGAACCCCCAGCTTCCAGGGTGTAGTTTAGCAGTCTGCTTTTATCACCTGGAAGATGAGGTTCTGTGAAAATGCACCGATGGCTCGAGAACGCAGCTGTGGATCATTTTCAGCCTTGCTTTCAGGGTTTCTTGGAAAAGCTTTGGAAAGAATTAAGTCAGAGGGGTTTCATTTGAGCGGACTCTAATTGGTACCTTTAAGAACCAATTTGGTTTACTAAACGTTAAGCTTATCTGCACGCCCAACCGTGCTGGCACATCCAGGAGGGCTGTAACCTTTTCAGTCATGAATCACCCTCTTCGCTGGAGTGGGTGAAAAAGGAGCTAGAAATGCAAAGGATTGTTCCATGTGGGCCTTCTTACAAAAAGTGCAACTTGTTCCTTAATTTATCATTTGTGTAGAACGACACAGTGTGCCTCCATTTAGAGAAAGTGGTTACTTTTATCATTTAAAACCTCCTTTTTGTTGCTGTAGAAACCCATGATTTTAATTTCCCTTTGGTTTAGTCTCTGTGGGCTTTCTTTTGCCCTTTTAACTTTGCCTTCAAGACACCTCCTTTAATGTAAAATAATCTCTTAAAAATTAAGGGCTTCCAAACTTTCCGCCGTATAGAGGGCCAGCTGGACACGAAACAGTCCGCAAAGCTAGACTGGATTATAACAATTACTCATTGGCTTTTTTGACCTTCGGCTGGAGTGATCTTAAAGTAACCTCACAAATAGTGTTATATCTCATTTTGTGGATAAAAGAGCCAATTCTAGGGTACAAAGGTTGTGAGGTACAAATTAAGCTAGTATCTTTTGTTGGGGTTGGGGGTTAATTTCTTTTTTTATAGAGTTGTAGAATAATGATGTTGGAAGGGGCCTATAGGGAGAAAGAGGAAGACCAAATACGAGGTGGGCAGACTCTGTAAAAGAACCCACACGCTTGAATCTGCAGGAACTGAGCAGGGCTATTGAGGACAATGCATTTTGGAGATGGCTCATTCGTAGGGTTGCCGTGAATCAGAGGCGATTTGACGGCACAATAACAACGAGGTTCGTGACCTGTTGGAAGGAACTGGAATGGTGAATGGCCCTCAGTTGGTGGCTACAACTTTGTATTCCCTTTGTGGACCGTCTTACTACATCATTAGCTTTCAAAAGGGTTTCTTTCCTGGCCCCAGGGCCCCAACCGGTAACCCAGTGGCCTGCTTACCGTGCTGTGTTCCATGGCAACAGAAAGCGCAGCTCGAGTAATTTTCAAAAGGTGCAAATGGTGGCAGCCTGCTAGTATTCCTCAAAAGGGCCTTTCCAACAAGCACTTGGTTGCTAAAGGAGGAGGGCGCCCCTCTGTGACCATAAGAATAAATGAATGAATAAAAGCTGTTTTACAAAATAAAGGTGACTTTCAAAGATTTGGTTCTTTCTTTGTTCGTATCAGAGCGCTGCACCATTTAAAATTATGGACAGGTATGAAATATAGATAAAATTAAAAACAAATGTTTGAAATATAGATAAAATTAAAAACAAATAATTAAGGTAATTAGACTGTTTTTGACTAGACGTGGGCTACTTCAATAGTGTTATCTTGGCCATTGGTGACATCTTCTTTAGTACACGTGGGGGTGTGTGTGAATTGTGTGCCCACCAGTGTGGCATGTATTGAATTTCTCCACAATCACAGAAGAGTTGTTCGGGACCAAATTCCCCCCATTTTACTTGCTTATTCTTTGATCTTACAAATTCGCTTTGAAGTCTGTTAAGTGACTTCCAGAGGGTCCAGCCAGAATCTTGTCCTGAGGGGAGACATTCTTTTGCATTCATCTGGTCAGGAAGGTGTCTTGTTTTTGTTCTCTGTAGGCTTAACCCAGCCTCTTCTGGTTTCATAATGTAGAGCCTGAGATGTGTGCAGAAAACCTGCCCTCCACGTTGGCCATTGTCTAGGGCAGGAATTCCAACCTTGGGTCACCCACGTGTTCTTGGGCTGCATTTCCCAGAATCCTTCACCACAAGCTGTGTGGGCTGGAATTTCTGGGTGTTGCAGACCAAGAACATCTGGTTTATTCAAGGTTGGGAACCACTGGTCTGGGGGGTTAAGGGTCCATATCTTATTTTGTTCATTAATTTGCTAGAACCTCTCAAAATACTTCTGGAGGGCAGTGCCAGCCACGACGCAGGTAATATATTTTAGTATATATAAGTTATTAATATACCATATTACCAAATCTTTGCAAAGTCATAGCAAGCCTGTTGTTTAGCATAGTAACCTGCACTAGAGTAGGTCCATTGAATGAAAGGGATTCAGTGAGTCAACACCTCCATAAATCCCATTGATTCAAATGGGCCTCATCCAACTGCAATTTACTATGCGAAGGACAGTCACAGTTTGAGTACACCCGTTTGAATCAGTGGATCTTATGGAGGAATTGATTCACCAAATTCCTGTTGATCCAGTAGACCTACTGTAGTGCAGTTTACTGCTCTGAACTACAAGACTTTAATCACTACATGGTGCAGAGAGGTTTGACCAAGCAGAACAAGGTTTATCTCGTGTTTCAGTAGTTCAGAACACTCAGTGCAGATTAATTTTCAGTAGTCTCTGGGCAACCTAAAGTAGGTAGCATAAAACTAACTTATAAAAACCATGGCCTCAAGATATTACATGAGTACTGTATTAGATAGTTTCAGAGAACGGCGTTACATTTATCATGTCTCTGGGTTTACTTTTACAGTGGTGCCTCGCTAGACAATGACACATTTATCATTTCTCTGGGTTTACTTTTACAGTGATGCCTCACTAGACAATGATAATCCATTCCACTGAAATCGCTGTTTCGCGAAATCATTGTCTAGTGAAAAGCATTTCCCCATTGGAATGCATTGAAACCTGTTTAATGCGTTCCAATGGGGAAGAATCGTCGCTGACTAGCGAAGATCGGCCATAGGAAAGCCGCTTTGCGAACTGCCGATCAGCTGTTTAAATTGCTGTCTTGCGAAGCTTAGATCCCGAAAACACCCGTTTTGCGAGTGCGGAGGGAGCTGTCAAAATCGTTGTCTAGTGAAAATCGGTTTGCAAAGCAGGGACCAAACATTGTCCAGCGAAATTCCCCCATAGGAATCACTGTTTTGCGAATCGCTATAGCAATCGCAAAAAGTCAATGTCTAGCAAAAAAAAAAAACTGTCTAGCGAGGCGCCACTGTAATGGCTTTCAACCTCTGGTAGGGAAACCCTTCATAATCAGAGGCAGTATATCTCTGTGTTAAATTGTAGGCTCATGGGATGAACTGCCTGCAGCATGTCCTCCTAACTGGGCTTTTCAGAAGGATTTGGGTGATTGCTGGTGAAAACAGAACACGTGTCTGATCAGCAAAGACAATTTACGTCTTCATAGTGCTTTGTGGCTGCAGTGGGAACCTGGAAATATTCCAGAGCTGGATTAACCCCCATAACATACTGCAGGGGACAAATGAAATCGCTTTCCCAAAGTTCTGCCCCAGTCTTGTCCAGACCCTTTTCTAGATGAATGTAATGGTTGAGAGAAAGTGGATGAAAAAAATTAGACTGTAGATAGGCTGTAGAGGTTCGTTAGAGCTGGTTGGTCTGGGAGTGATTTCCTCTCTTGTAGTTCAGTAAATCAGAAGCATGCTCTTTTCGTTCATCTGTTACTCCTGCTGTAGCAATACAGAAATCTCTAGAACCAAGGAAATATACCTGAAACAGTGAAGCTACCTTTACAAAATTGTTAATTTCCTGCTTTATTGGAACATCTAAGGGTTTCCACCATTCTCCCCCCCCCACCTTGAGCCTAGCCCAGCCCAGTGATTCAAGGAGAAATCTTTAGAAACTTCTTTAGAAGTTTGTGAATTTGTCCCTATCATCTCCATTAATAAAATATCTCAAATAAGAGTAAGGACACCATGGTGTGAGACTCTGGAGCGCCACTCTCAGCCAAAGTAAGACTTAGTGACCTAGATGCAGTGCTTAGCTTGGAATTTTCATTCATGGGTAGGTTTGTATTTAAGGAGGATGTGGAATAATGAAACTGTTGAAGGCATGCTTCGAGACGTACTCCATTTTCATTTGGATGAATTGTTCTTGATCTCCCTTGAATGTTTTGGTTCACTTATAATTTGCCTGGCAGAACCTTTTGAATATAGATGCTTTGGGGCAATGTAGGCAATTCTTACCCTATTGCAGCCCTCTCGGCCCTCAAAATGCCTAAAGAAGGTGACAGGTGAACTGTAGCATGGAGCAATCCTGCTGAGGGTTCTAGGTAGCCAACCATCTCTCATTTTGTTTATTCCACTCCATTACTCTTCCCATTTTTCAATTCCCTGCATTAGAATCACATGACATTCCATGGCTACTGAGCATACTCAGACCTTACTTTTCAGTTCCCACCACCCTTTTTAACCTAATGATTCTTTTGTCATATGTCTGCAAACTTAGGCTTCATTGAAACTTGCTAACGATTCCACCTTGCACACGGTCGGTGCCATTTTGGCTACCTAAAGATCTTTGCTTGTGTAATAATTATGACTAGAAAGCCAGATGGCCTGATGGTTGATTATTCACTTAGCATGACTGCCTTTGAAGGAACCTGTTTCTGTCTATCCTGGGGCCTATAGTTCGACTGACTTGGTTTGACCTGCTTTCTGCTCTCCCTATGCTTCCTCCCACCAGGCTCCTTGAAGCCCAGCTCCAGGAACAGAGGAGAGAATATGAAGAGGAAGCAGAAGCACTGAAGGACCAAATAGAGGCTTTGAGAGGAGAGATGGAGAAGCAGCAGGAAGCCTTTTTCCAGACCCTCCAGCTGTCCCCAGAAGCCCAAGTAGAATTTGGCATTCAGCAAGAAATCACACGGCTGACCAATGAAAACCTGGTAAGAGCCCACTGTGGACATGGCCTGACTCTTCACCCTCTGGGTTGCTGCAGCAGCTGGAGCTGGTGACAGCTTTTTCTCTGAAGGGCTTCTAACGTCCTCTTCAGCACACAAAGGCTCCCAAGGGGGATGTCTATCCTTACGTTCACCATCTATTCTAGGGCAAAGAGGAAAAAAGATGGAGATGATGGACGAGGAAAAAAGCCAAAGAGGCACTCGTTTTTATTTATTTTTATTTATTTATTTATTTATTTGACTTGTATGCCGCCCACACTCTGCAAGAGTCTCCGGGCAGCTTCCAACATCAATTAAAACAGTTCAGTAAAAAAAGAGACTCACTACAAACCAATATGGTTACATCTACTCTACAAAAGCAAAAATAAAAACAAAAACAATCTAGATCCATGACTTTATCAATTAAAATTAAAACCTTTAATTAAAAAACTTCCGGAACAGGAAGGTTTTAACCTGGCGCCGAAGTATCAGTAACGTCGGCACCAGTGGGATATCGTTTGGGAGGGCATTCCAAGGACTGGGGGCACCTGCAGTAAAGGCCGTCCATCTACAGGCCATCCCTCTCTCACCTCCCTGATCACCTCCCTGAGAGATGGCTCTTTCAGGAGGGCCTTGCCGGGTAGGTTCGTATGGAAGTAGGCAGTCCTTTAGGTATCCAGGTCCTGAGCCGTTTAGGGCTTTATAGGTCAAAACAAGCACTTTGAATTGGGTCCAGACAACAACTGGTAACCAGTGCAACCTGGCCAGAATCGGCTGAATATGTTCTCTCACAGCTTCTCCACTCACCAGTCGCGCAGCTCGATTCTGGACCAGTTGTAGTCACCAGATCATCTTCAAAGGAAGCCCCATGTAGACCACATTGCAGTAATCTATACGAGATGTTACCAGTCCATGAGTAACTCATGAGGCTCTGTTCGTCCAGGTAGGGCCGTAGCTGGTATAATTTCCGCAGCTGAAGGAAGGCGCCTCTGGCCACCAAGTCTACCTGGGCCTCTAGGGCCTGGGTTCCAGGAGCACCTCCAGACTGCGGACCCTGTCCCTCAGGGGGAGTGCAACCCCATTCAGGGCAGGGAAATAGAGATAGATATCTTTTAATGACCAGCTGAAAAAGAAATAGTTCAGTTTGGAGAAGAATATTTTGGACAAGAAACTGGAAATGATTGATTGATTGATTGATTGATTGATTGATTGATTGATTGATTGATTTGTATTTGTGCCGAGCTTATGGCTGTCAGGAGTAATTAATCCATAAATGGGTACTTGGGTAAAAATAGAAAAGTCAGGTTCAGGAAATTCATTCAGAGACAGTCCAGGAGAAAATAGCCCTAAACATGTGTACAAAAGCCCTAACTCTGGCCTCTGTACATGGGGAGACAATCATCATGAAGACCCATGTGTTATTCCCCTCTGACAAACGGAAACAATCATGCTGATTTCCAAGAAAAAGGTTGAAAGAAAGCTTGAGTACCAACAGGTCAAGACGTGAAAATATAGTTATATAATGGTGGTTCAGAAATAGCTTCCAAGCTTTAATCTTCATGCCTTCCTTCCCCTCTGAACTTAAAGAGTTGGCAAAGTGCTGCTCTCAGTGCCTCCTTAAAATGAAATCTTGTCCTCTTGTTTTTCCTTTTTGTTCTAACAAGGAGGCTGACTACAAGGACTATTTAATCCACTGTTGGAGCCTCTGCGCCCAGAGTCTTCCTATCAGCACCTTTCTGGCCCCTGTCAAGGGGCTTCTACATTCTTGATGTGCCTAGGATTGCTTTGGTTTGGATCAGTTCCAGCAATCACATCACTGGGACCCATCCAGAGCAAGCCTTCCTCTTTCAATGTACCGTCGAATCCAGAGCAGTGGCTTTGGGGGCAGGCAGTTTCTTAACCATCCCTTTAAGAGAAAAGATTTTTTTCCCATAAGTGATACAGTGCATCTTCTTCATGGATTGCTGCCTTGTCATAAGTGATACAGTGCATCAGCAATGGTCTGTATATAGTAAAGGATGCTGGGGGTGGGAATTCACTTCCCTTGCCCTCTGCCAAGCAGGAGAACAGTGCATCAGCAATGGTCTCTATATAGTAAAGGATGGGGGTGAATTTGCTTCCCCTGCCCTCTGCCAAGCAGGGGAAGTGATTGATTAGCCAATGTACTGAAGTGGTTGGCTTATTAAGTCACTTCATGATACTGACAGGAGCCCTTTTCATGTGAACAGGCCATTCCAAAACAATTCATACTACAGTAGTGCTATTGAAGCCATATGTATGTTAACTTTTAATCAGTTTTTATTCTTTTAACCACCCAAAGAGCTTGCATTATCAGAGGCTATACAAAGGAAGGAAGGAAGCAAGGAAACCGACAAATGTGGAGAGAGAGAAAGATATAGAGAGACTGCGAAACTCAATCAAACCAGTGAACCATATTGCAACAGCAGTATTTGTCCTTTATGAACAGTAGCTGTCTAGGGGCACTAGTTGAAGTCTTTCCCATCATTCTCTCTTTCTTATTTTTTTTTTTTACAAATTGGAATTGGAAGTAGGATATCTGCATAAAAAGCATGTGTTTTACCACTGAGCTATGTCCCCTCAACGGCACACCTAGAATTGTTACGTTTAGCAGAATAAGAGACCCAGAATGCAGAGAGCAGGTGTGATTCTGTTTCCTGCTGCTCCCACTTCTGCTTCGCTGTGGCATCTCATTAGATGGTCCTTATCACATTCAAGCAGATGTGTCAGAATCATTTAAATTATGAATGTTAGGAGCTTCCGCAAAAGCACTGGGGTGGCAAATTCTAAATTATTATGTGTACTCTATTACTTCCAGTGGAAGTCAGGAATCAGTGACCTTACGTTGTTTCTTTGATTAGACAGAGGGCATCAGAGGTGGATTTCGCCTTGGTAACTGACAGTAAGTGATAATTGGAAAAAGGAGGCACTGTCAGACAGACCACTAATTCCCTTATTGATTTTAATGTAATTATTTGTCTTAGAAGAAATGGCTCGTGACACACCAGGCAGGGTGTTGCTCCTTGCTGAACCTCCGGATGGTCACTCCAGCAGTCTACAGCTGTCAAAATAAAGATTTGTTGTTTTTTGCCAGGATGAACAGTTTTGTACTTGCGGTCATTTTTATCATTTATTAAGCACTTCCCTATTCTAGCTTGTGTTCACGAACTAACCAGAGTTTCTGCATAGCTGAGCCATGATTGAACATTGCCTGCGCCATTCACCAGCCTATAATTCAAACTGCATGACGTGATGAGATGACAAGGGATAAGCAGGGTCTTTGGCATCAAAGATGGAATCCTATCATAAATTTAGGGGTTCAGCTTTAATCTCCATATCTTATATGTGTAAGGATGAAAGATCAGCTTATTTCCCACCCAAGTCCATTTGACGTGTATTCATTCATAACTCTGTGTTTGGGTCTGTTTCCACATCAGTCTATTTTCTTTTAATGCACAAAAATAAATTTTATTTTTTGCATATACTGTTCACAAAAAGCAGGCATTTTTGTACAGGTCCTAACCTAAGAGATGCCTTTTTGTAGTACTGTAATGTAATACCTTTTTTTTTTTTTGACTGACAGCTGTTCTGCAATTTTAGTTGAGTACAGATACTGGAAGGTAACTGTGTTCCAATACAGTATATGTATTAATCCAGGAATTTCATATTGTTTTACTTGAAAATGCAAGCCAAATTAAATCCTCCTTCATCTCCAGCCTACACGGGTTCTCACATTATGTTGCTCACTTTACATGTCCATGATGTAGTCATGAGTAAAAAGGCCATATAGAGCACCAGTATAATGTATCGTATTTTTATTGTATGAGATGATAGTTTTGTCTAAAATCTTTAGATTAAAAATGGAGGATTGTCTTAGACACAGAAGTAAGGAGGGGGGAAGGGATCAAAATGCTTTGATCCCTGTTTTCCTTTCTTCTTGTGAAGAAAGTGGAGGGGGAAAGCACTTTCTTTGCAAGAAAGTGGAGAAAGCAGGGATCAAAGTGCTTTGATTCATGCTGTAGGGATCAAAGCACTTTGATCCCTGCTTTCCCCTTCCACTCGCTAGGCGGGCTTAGCAAGAAAGGGGAAAGCAGGGATCAAAGCAATCCTGCAGCTCTTTGATCCCTGCTTTCTCCCTCCACTTTCTTGGGAAGAAAGTGGAGGGGGAAAGCACTTTCTTGGCAAGAAAGTTAAGGGGCAAAGCAGGGTCTTTCTTGGCAAGAAAGTGGAGGGGAAAAGCAGGGATCAAAGGGCTTTGATCCCTGCTTTCCCCCTCCACTTGCTTAAGCAGGCTTAACCCAAAATTAAGAAATCTAAGCAGTTTTGGCAAGAAAGGGGAAAGCAGGAATCAAAGCTATCCTGCAGTGTTTTGATCCCTGCTTTCCCCCTCCACTTGCTAAGCCCCGCTTAGATTTCTTAATTTTAGATTAGGAAAAAAAGGGGTGGTCTTGTACATGGAAAAATACAGTATATGTGTTGCATGAAGATGGTTCTGGGTTCAGTCCCTAATATCTCCAGAAAGGATTCTTACTGAATCACTGGAGGGTAGCTGCTGCTGCTGCTGCTGCTCTGAATAGAAGCAGTACTGAGCTAGAACAACTAGGATGGACTTTGTAGAAAGCAATGCAATTGACTTTGTGTTAACTAACAGCACATTTTATCAGATTATAACTTTTAAGCTTAGTTTTGTGTTCATGCCATGACATATTGTATCCATTAACCTGAATCAAGATGTAACATTTTTCCTGAACTATATGGCTGCAAAGTAGAGGTGAGGAGGCCTTTATAATCTGCAGGAGATGGGAAGTGCTCAGAGAAAATAACTTGGCAGGGAAAGGTCAATCTGATCCTTTACCTTTACTTACTAACTGCATGCAAAGACTTTCATCCCCACAGCAATTCAGCAGCATCCTAAAGCAGTACAATGACAGAAATATTTCCACCAGATTTTTCTGCATGTCCAGAGTGTCTAACCTACTGTGTTTTCCCCTCCTAGCTGCACATTAAATAGAGTGTTCCAGGTTTAAGATGGTATTTATACCCATCCTTTTCTATTCTAAGAAAGAGACTCTATTAGCAATAGGAACTGTACCATTTTCAAGTGCAAGGGGAAAGTTTCAAGTTTCAGTGTTTTCCCATTATGTGCTGGGGATCCCATCATTTCCGTGATACAGCATTGAAGTGTACTGCCGTCTTCCTTTGCTCTCCCATCCCTACCAGCATGAAATACCACAGGAAAACTTTTACTGTTTCGTACTCCTGCTTTGTGGGAGCCTCGTGGCGCAGTGGTTAAACGGCTGTCCTGCAGCCAAAACTGTGCTCACGACCTGGGGTTCAATCCCAGGTCTCCGGCTCAAGGTTGACTCAGCCTTCTATCCCTTCCGGGGTCGGTAAAATGAGTACCCAGCTTGCTGGGGGTGCAATGTGTAGCCTGCATAATTAACTTGTAAACCACCCAGAGAGTGCTTGAAGCACTATGGGGCGGTATATAAGCAGCACACTTTTTTTTTTGCTTTATATCTACTAAGGGGCACCATCTACATCTTCTTTAAGAAGGTGCGTTTTTGGTAATATTACAGTGCGAACAGGCCATCAGCTGAGCAGGGAGGGAAAAACACGACAACTCGATCTTTAGAATAATGCAAGCTCTCCCTGAGCGCCTTGACAAATTACTGGCCTCCCTATTATATGAAAAGCTCACAATGCATGATTGATTGGCCTGCTGCCGACTGAAATAGACCTTGGAGCAGAAATCAATGGCACAACTTTTAAAAGGCAGCTAAGTGCTGGGGGCGGCCAGCCCTACATCTCTAAAAAGCAGCTTTGGTGCTGCAGAAGGCAAAAATAAGAGTTTCTTTCATCTTAAGAGAAGAAATTCATTTCTTAGTACCTTCTGGCATTTTTGTTTTGTTTGCAATCCCTATCTTGTCTTTGATTCAGAAAAGTCAAGGCAGCATAAACAGGATTTTCACAGTAGATTCTCAGAGCACCCCTGTAAGAGAGGGTCTGGATGGACACAGGGTGACTTGCCGCCCAGTCAGTTTTGTACAGTATTTGTATTTAGACTAAGCCTTTTTTGGTCCAGCTGTATAATAAATAATGCACTCAATCACATGTTTTTGCAGTTTATGTACTTGAGGAGGTGTGTCTAAAGTAGACCCCATCATGTGGGAGGGAAAAACTCCCAACACATTAAAAAAACAACCATTTCAGTGTGTCTGCCCCAAACTCTGATTAGAGTTTCCGTGTTTCTGATTTTCATTTAATCCAGAGATTAAAAACGGCAAGCCCTAGAAGTAGTGTGCGGGTCAGTCACATGGAAGTCAATGGGGCACTGGGATGTTTTTAGAATTACTATTATACCTTCTTGAGTTTATGTTTTCATGTTTCTTGCTCAAAGAGAGAACACCCATGCTAGCAACTGGAGCTGTTTGAAACAAATCAGCTAAGCAAAAGCAAGTCTTTTCCATGCCCCAGTTGACTTTGATTCTGTGAGATGGCACAAAGACATTTTGTGCAGACTGCGTGCTTTGTTCTGCAGGTTAAGTGTACCAGTTTAAGTTGATACGGTTATTCTTGACTTTCAGGATCTCAAGGAGCTGCTAGAAAAACTAGAAAAGAATGAAAGGAAACTGAAAAAACAGCTCAGGATTTACATGAAGAAAGTGCAAGAATATGAAGGTGAGAGGTCTGATTTCAGACGTTTCCTCTGTAGCTGAGAATTCAATGAATCAGCTTTCCATTCTACATGACTAAGAGTTCAGTGGAACTATATATCAAGAAAAATCAAAGGACTGGGAGGCTGCAGGAGTTGAAAATCAACTGCAGGATGTAAAGCAAGGATTTGCAAAAATGAGGAGATCTGCAGAGGGCACTGTCAGGAGCTGTAAGAATCAAAGTCATCCTTAGTTACCTATTTGTTAATTCAAAGGGTGCAAGGGTACATGATAGTAAGTCTGTCTTCTCTCTGCCTATCCTATCCTCATGCCTAGTAATCTTGATAGGCTGCAAGTTCAGTTCTGCCATCTTTGCCCTGGTCAAGACAGGATAGCAGCTGGAAAGATAGCTCATTTGGTGCCTCCTTGTGTGTATTCTCTTCCTTTAGTTTTGATACTGCAGGTATCAAAGCTGAAACGCTCCACCTGCTGGTATTAATTGCATGCGCTGCAGCTATTAAGGGGAGCCCTGTGGCATTTGGTGTAGCGGATGAAGAAGAAATGAATGTAGAAACTTTTGTGCTGCTCTTTGATGCTTTTTATCTTAGTGGCTTGACGGAATGGTTAGCAACCTACGTTGATCCTCGGGCCTGGGTTTCAGAAAGCTGCCCATTAAGCGCAATTAAGCAGGATGAATAGGCCATTCTCTTATCAAGGCAGCTGGAGCAGCTGGTTCTCATCACTATAATTTACATGCACTGAGCTGACATCCTACCACATTATTTGAATTGTGCCTTAATATCCATTTGCTAGATAAATGTCATGATTGCATTGCTTGTCAATGAGTGTCACAGTAATCATCCTCTCCCAGAAACCACTTGCCAAAGAGGTCATGTTTGTGCCCTTGTATAATGAAAATAGAAGCAAAAGAACTATGACACCTTAAGACTTACAGATTTATTTCATTCTGAATGTTTGTAGATTACAAGCCGCTTCCTCAGACACAGAGAGCATAATAGTTAGGGCACAGATTAATGTACGTGGTAGATATGGAACAAGGGAAGGCACACACGTACGAAGGCAGAAAGAGTGCAACCAGTACCTTAGTACTTTTTATATCATATTCCCTGTGGCTGTAGACATGGATTTCGATCCATGGAAGTTCACACTGAAAGAAATCTGTTAGCCTTTAAAGTGTTGTGATATTTTGCCTCCCCCATTTTACTTTTACCAGTCACTTTGGTGAGAATGGCATTGTTATATCAGTCATGATCAGTCAGAAGTGCTAATTAGTAGGTATCTTTTTCTCCGCAATCAAATGGTTTTCAAAGAGTATGTTGAGCTTAGAGTTACATCAAGCAAAATCACTTTGAAGTTACAGCTACACCCAAGTCTAAAGATCAATCCAAAGTATTCATAATCTATACAGTAGTAAAAATCCTTGCTCCTTACTTAGTCTTTCTAATGTACACTGGAATCGCTAAATACAGCTCACTTCGGCTGCCTCTCATGTCTTCTTTTGTATTTCTTTTTCTCCTGAGAAACAGTCTCTTATAAATTGTCTTGGATGGTTGAAATACCCTGAAATAGGCCATTTTTAATGCCATGTCCAATGGATGCAGCAAATCTGACATTGGACATGACACAACACAAAAGCTAGTTTTAGAACATTTCAGCCTCCCAGCATTAAGTCTCAACTTTCACAATGCAGTTGACAATATTATAATCACTGCCTTCCAGCCCCAGCTGCCCCTTGTGAAAACTTGACCACAGACATCAGAGTAATACTGTAGTGAACTTTGGTTTCAGTTTAACACTGAGCCCCTTTTAAGCTGGGGGCGGGGGGAAGTTGATACCGCCAAAGACTTAGAAGGAAGAGTGCAATTCTGTGGCCCACCACTAGTCTCATACGCATTGTTTATATACTTATGATTAGAAATGGGGGTATTCGTATACGATATCTAATAAGTATATAAACAGTGTCTGGACAGGTGGACATAACGAGGGTCCACTCACCTGTCCGCCATCAGCGCCAGCTCCACTCTCCCTTCCAGTTGCTCTGGAGCTCCTGATCTACTATCCACTCCTAGCAGGAGGAGGGAAGACTAGTCTCCCTGCCAGACTGACAAGTGGATAGCCGACTGGGCGCTCTCGAGTGACTGGGAGGGAGAGTGGAGCCGGTGCCAGCAGCGGACAGGTGAGTGGACGTTCCAGTCCCAGCGGGGCGGACCCTCGTCATGTCCACCTGTGCGGAGATATTCATATATGAATACTCTCGAGTGACTGGGAGGGAGAGCGGAGCCGGTGCCGGCAGCGGACAGGTGAGTGGACGTTCCAGCCCCAGGGGGGCGGACCCTCGTCATGTCCACGTATGCGGAGCTATTCATATACGAATACCCCCATTTCTACTTATGATGTTAATTTTGCAACATCCTACTTTTCAGAAATCATTTGTTCTCAAGGAATCACTAAGGCAGGCTAGATGTTTTAGTGGCCCTTCAAAAGCGCTGCTATAATCTGTCGGTCAAGCACTTTGGTGGCACTTCATTCAACACTTTCTGGCATTCAACATCATTTTTTGTTGGGTTGCTTTTCATAGCTGATCAAGCCATGGAACAAACGGAAAAGCGGCGTCATGAGCTCACAAGACAGGTGACTGTCCAAAGGAAGGAGAAAGACTTTCAGGGAATGTTGGAATATTCCGAAGAAGATGAAGCACTACTTATAAAAAATCTCATTACAGGTAAATGGTTTTGCTCCATGGATAAATACTCTTGCTTTGTCAGTGAGCTGTAGTGATTTATTTAATACCTTTCAAAACAGAAACACAGCATAATGCACAAACTACACCGATCTCTTAACTTGGAAGTAAATTCTATTGAATAAAGTGACATTAGTCTTGATGACAGATGAGGGAGAATGTAGTATAGAATAATCCAACCTGTTTGAATTGATCTTTGACTTGAACTTTGTTGAAATGCTAGCCTTTATTTATGCCCTAGGGCGACCCTTGCATTGAGTGAATTGTGGGCTATTTATTGAGCGAGAAATCAAATATATTGAGAGTGAGGATTAGGGGTTACATTTTAAATCTTGTAGTGGGAGGTATTTCCTAACATTCCATATCCATCCTCAAATTCTGATTTTCCTGAAATGGGCCAACCTATTGACAACAAAACCACATCGCTTCTGCTTGCTGCATCATGATTTGCTCATAAAAGGCATCAGACATTGTAGTCAAATATGTTACACTGGAGGGGTGAAGAGCTAACCAAATGGAAAAAGCAATAATAGATTTTTGGGACCCTTTCTCCTTCCCTGGCTGTTTCGTTTTTTAAAAAGATGGCAAAAGGCTGAAGTTTGGAGAAATGATTCAAGTGATACCATGGATTGCATGTAGTTCTAGTCCTCCATGGATTCTGCAACAACATTATACTGGGGACCTAAAATGTTCCTTCCTGAGAGATAAGGAATGTTATGTACATCTACTAAGTTACTATTTTGATGCTTGAGATGTATATTCCTAATGTTTATAAAGAAGTTATGAGGATGATATTTCAGAGATGCAACCAGCTGAGACAGGACCAAGATAATCTTTTATGTATGTTATGGGAAATTAACAACCTGTACCACTGCAAAATACAAGACAGTGATGCAGATTTCTTAATAACCACATGCCTGATTTTTGTACCAAATGTTCAAGAAGCTTGGTTACTTCTAAAAAGTTGTCTTAAGCTACCCAAAGTTAGCTTTGAACCTTCCCAAAGATGCATTTTCATTCTACTCCAGCTAATAATTTCAGAAGTGTATACTTTACCCGGATTTTTTTTTTAACGGGAGATTTTTAAAAAATTCTAGTCATTGGATCAGCTAGTGTAAGTAATTGTAGACAACAGTGTTCAGTGCTTGTGTGTGCAAAAATGAAAGAGAACACAAGAGACCTGTTGGACCAGCCCAATGGCCAGCAGCATTCTCTTCAGTGTGGCCACCCAGACAAGTGTGGAAAGCCCTCTCTAGAAGGATATGATTGGAGTGACTGCACTCTCCAGCCCCACACTGAAAGGTTGTTGTTTTCTCCCCCCATTCTTACAGATCTGAAGCCTCAAACGGTCTCTGCCACAGTGCCCTGCCTTCCTGCTTACATCCTCTACATGTGCATCAGATACGCGGATTACATTAATGATGACCACAAAGTGCACTCCTTGCTTACCTCCACCATTAATGGCATTAAAAAAGTATTAAAGGTATAAGGAGCGTATTTAATGGCTAGGCTTTGTTCTGGCTTACTTATTAAGAAGTGTAATCATTTTAAGGACATGACTGCATAGTGGGTGAGTAGAGTTATCTGAAGAAAGGACATGCCTTGGCCCTCGTAGCACTGAGGAACGCCTTCCTTTTTTTAAAACACAGTTTCCTTCTAAGGACGAAATAGTGCCAGACTCTGATCCAGAGGACTCTTCAGACATGTGCAAGCACTTCTGTAAATGCAGTGGGGATTGTGTAAAGGTTTCCGCCCTTTCCTTTTTATTTTAGACTAAGTCCATTGGTTGCACTCAGTGCTGGTTTTGGAGCTGGCTTACGTTGCACTGCCTTAACTCATGGCCTTTGCCTCAAATCTCCAAGATCTTAGGCTGTACAACTCCTGAACATAAGTAGTAATTGTAGACGAGGTGGCCATGTTACATGTGCAATGTTAAAAATAAAATAAAAACGAAAGAACAAATAAAAAAAGACAAAAACGTGGCAGCTTAAAAACTAATTGTTATATTTTAATTTCATGAACTTGCCCACAAAAGCTTACATTAAAATATAAGTCTTCTATAGGTAAAAATAAAATAAAAATGAAAGAACAAATAAAAAGACAAAAACGTGGCAGCTTAAAAACTAATTGTTATATTTTAATTTCATGAACTTGCCCACAAAAGCTTCCATTAAAATATAAGGCTTTACGCTGCTACCACGTTTTTGGCCTTTTTATTGTTTTATTTTTACTTTTATTTTGCTGTTTCCTATAATGAACATAAGAATTTGCAGGGGGAGGGGAAATACCACTGTAGAAGTGCCAAGATCTGAAGAAAATTAAACTAATCGGCTCTCAAAAGAGCAATTCTGAAGGCACACCATCCCCAAGAACGGCCCTTTGTCTCTCTATATCAAGTCTATCTTCTCCCTGATGCTTCCTCTACTACCATGGCCCTTGTATTTGCCAACATAAGCAGATTTTGAAATAACAGATTAGTCCTTTTCATCGTAAAGTTAAGGCATAGAAACAGAGGCTCAACAGAGGGCTTCAATCATATTTATTTTGGGTTCTTCACAGAAACATAACGATGACTTTGAGATGACATCATTTTGGTTGGCTAACACCTGTCGCCTTCTACATTGTCTGAAGCAATACAGTGGAGATACGGTGAGAGAACTAGAGTCGCAAGAGTGACTGCCCGTTTGCTAACAATAATGTTTCTGTGTCTCTGTAATAAGAGGTTTCCTAGTCCATGTGTAAAATTATCTGCTGAGTTGAGCAGTGCTCCAATTCATTTGTGCTCCAGGGAGGTTTTGGCAGAATGGTCTTCAGCATCTTAATCAAGATAAATTGGGTCTGCAACAAAATATTGCAGTGTGGAATGTTCATGTTCGAGATTCCAGTTTTCTATGCTCCCCACTCAGAAGCAGTGCTCCGATTCATGTGTGCTCCAGGGAGGTTTCGGCAGAATTGTCTTCAGCAACTTAATCAAGATAAATTGGGTTTGCAACAAAATATTGCAGTGTGGAATGTTAAGATTCCAGTTTTCTATGCTCCCCACTCAGTACATTCAGCATTCCATGTCCCCCCAAATATGTTAGTTCTTGCTGTATTCTTCTTTCTCCTCTCATTATTTTGTGGTTCATTTTCTCCCTGGTACTTCTGCAAATGTTGCTGTTCCCCCAAATCCTGCAGCTAAGCTACTTTTTATTACATGGGTGATGCTTTTGGGGGTATAAAAATCCACATTTAGAATTTGAATCTGCCATTAGTATGTATCTTTCAAATTTTTGTGAATCTGGTCTGCAAATTATTTAAGCTTATTTCTGCAACAACAGCACAGTGTTTAGATAATGGGGAGTTGCAGGTGTGACAAACCCAGACCTACTGGGATCTGCCACACTTTAACTAAGCTGCCACCAACCATTCCCTATAAGAAGTCAGAGTGAGCGTAAACTCCGCTGGACTCTGTGGGACCTACTTCCAAACAGACCTGCAAAGAATTACACTGTTGATCTCAGATAAAGTACTTAATTTCTACTTGGTCATGAAAATCACCAGCTGTTCTGAAGGTTATATTTGCACAAATTCATTTTGCTTGCATACCAAACAATATATTTTTTTACCAAGATACTAATCAGTATTGGCTTATTGTCTTGGATATATTATTTAATTGTTCTTCTTTTTAGGGTTTTATGACACAAAACACTCCTAAGCAGAATGAACATTGTCTGAAGAACTTTGATCTCACTGAGTATCGCCAAGTCCTAAGTGATCTTTCTATTCAGATCTACCAGCAGCTCATTAAAATTGCAGAAGGCACCTTACAACCCATGATAGGTGAGACACCAACATTATTATTATTGAACTCTGCCTTGTGATTCATTTCACAACTATCCAGACTCTCCCTACTCCTTAAATTCCAAGAGAAGCGGATTCATATCCATCATGTTCTGGGCGAGGGATGCAATCCATCAGTTTGAAGAATGCCCCAGACCGCATGTTTGCACAGCCCGTTAATTTCAGTGGGGTTTACAAAGAAGAGATTTCCTGGTGGTGGGTATCAGGTTTTCATGCTTAAAAATACTTTTAGAGATACTTCTTGGAAGAATGTGTGCATAAGAATCTTTAACTGGAAATGGAAAACATGGGTTTTTTAAAAATGAACCCCGTGATTAAAAGGTGATAGGCATCTGATGTGGATTATCAGTGCCAATTAAATGAAACTTCAGAAGTGGGTTACATATAAACCTCTGCTGTGACAACTTGTATTTCACCAGGCCCTCACAGTCTTCAAGACTTCTTTGTTATAAAAACCAAGCAAATGCTGGAATTTCCACAGTCCTGAAATCTGTACCTAATATCTGGTTTCAAACTTATTATGTAATTTAAAAAAAAATATTTTTACCTGCCTTTCTCCTTAAAAAAAGAGCCAAGGCAGCTTACATCATTACTTGCACAACACACTTATGGTACGATGTTAAGCCATGGATGAGGAATAGGTGGCTATCCAAATATTGTTAGCTATAACACCTGTCAGTCCCAGCCAGTGTAGCCAATAAGGAAATCTCATGGGAGTTGCACTCTATCTGGAATGCCACATGTTCCCCATCCCTGCTTTTGCCCTAGTCACTTTTTGAAAGGTTCTGCAAGTCTAACCATTTTTAATCTTTCCCCATCTCCTTTCTTCCTTTGGGCTAACTACTTGAAAAATAAAATTTATTCCGATTCCATACTAAAGCTTTACTATGTATTTATTATATCTCCATACAGAGGTGTTAGTAGTTTTTACGGTATGTTAATTGAGTTCTAGCCCATCCTGTTACCCACACCATTTTAGAACTTTATGGCCATCCATTAATTAATCCTTCCTAACATAACAATGTAAAAGAAATACTAAGTAAAGTTGTCTTTCCTGTGCTAACAGCAGGGAGATTAATCTGACAAAGGAAATCTTCCTTGGTGCTTAGGTGAAACTTTTCCAAACCCATCGTTCCCTCGAGATGACATAGCCCAGCATTTATTTGGTACAAGGATGGCTGCTGCCTGCTGCTGTCCACTCTTGATCTAAAGATGCAGCATTTGGTGATGAGAGGCAAACATTTTTTCTTACTTAGGAACAAGCAGATGCACTAAGAAGAAACTACTATATATGAGAAAACAAGATAAAATGACATTGAGAAGTCCTTGCAATACCTAGTTTGCCTTTTAAGAATGATTTCTTTTCTTTCCAGTGACTGCGGTGTTGGAAAATGAAAGCATCCAGGGCCTGTCAGGCGTGAAACCAATGGGTTACCGCAAGCGAAGCTCCAGCATGGGGGACAGTGACAACTCATACACTCTGGAGGCAATCATCCATCAGTTGAATACCTTTCATAGTGTCATGTACGATCAGGGCCTTGACCCCGAGATCATCCAGCAGGCCATTAAGCAACTCTTCTACATGATTACTGCCGTGGCCCTGAATAACCTGCTGCTAAGGAAGGATGTCTGTTCTTGGAGCACTGGAGTCCAACTGAGGTAGGCTGCCAGCCAAAACAGTGGCTTAAACTTCGTCACCCAACGCTGCTCGTGCATCTCCCGATACCGCTGTTCTGCAGGGTGAGGGGAAATAGTCTGATGCAGTTGGAGCTTCGTCCTCAAGTCTTGGTATGACTAGAGATGTGAAGGCTCAGAAAACAAACAGAAACATTGGTGTGTGTTCCCCCCCCCCATTACAAGTTTACAGATTTTTTCCAGTGGAAAAAATATGGAAACTTTGGAAAATGTGGAAGGATGCGCCAATAAAAAATATTTTCTTTCTTGGAATCAGTAAGATACTTTTAAAACAAGGATTAAATTATTCAGAATGCCAGGAACTGCATAGTATGAAGACTTTGTGAGACAGTCAAAAGAATTCCTCTGCTGGCTGTGTAGATTTATACAACGCTCAAAGGCAAGGTGCATTTCCGCACTTAATAGTTGCTTCTGTCTTCTTGAGACAAGTATGGGGCACCCTTCTTTGGTTCTGCATTCCCTTGTTTTTGTGACCTTTGTTCTATTTCGATAGAAATGTGTTAACAATTAAAAGCAGGACTGTTTCTATCCAAATATTTTGTTCATTACAAAATCTGTGGTTTCTATTTTGTCTTGTTTGCCTTTCCTAGATGATTAAAAATAAGAAACTTGCATTTTGGGTAACGTAATGTGCAACAGGTTGCAGTTCTTTCTTTAATACAGTCTATACTTAAAAAGAGTTTTGCTTGTACAAAGCTAAGGCTTTAAAAAAATCGGGTGTGGCAAACAGTACAATTTCTTATGCAAAGATATGAATAAAGCATTTCTTATTGATATAGTAGTAAAATAACTCTAGGTTTCAGATGAAAATACAGTTGTGTTCAAAATTATTCAGCCCCCACTGAAATTGAATGTTTTGGCCATGTTGACATTGATTTTGATCATTCAGTCATCTTGCTTACATTTACATGAAAGAGGCACTTGTAGGTCAGAGAAATATAACCTTAAGTTTATAATGAAATAACCACAAATGTCTTTTCTGTGCTCACATCATTATTAGTTTTTATTCAACCCCCAAGTGACATTCAATCTTAGTACTTAGTACAACATCCTTTTACAGTTATAACAGCTTTTAAACGTGAAGCATAGCATGACACAAGTGTCTTGCAGCGATCTACGGGTATCTTCGCCCATTCTTCATGGGCAAAAGCCTCCAGTTCAGTCAAATTCTTAGGCTTGCGCACTGCAACTGCTTTCTTTAAGTCCCACCAGAGGTTCTCAATCGGATTTAAGTCTGGTGACTGCGATGGCCACTCCAAAATGTTCCAGCCTTTCCTCTGCAACCATGCTCTAGTGGACTTGGAGGTATGCTTGGGATCATTGTCCTGTTGAAAGGTCCAACGTCTCCCAAGCCTCAGGTGTGTGACGGACTGCATCACATTTTCATCCAATATCTCCTGGTACTGAAGAGAATTCATGGTACCTTGTACACGCTGAAGCTTCCCTGTACCTGCAGAAGCAAAACAGCCCCAAAGCATTATTGACCCTCCGCCATGCTTCACAGTAGGCAAGGTGTTCTTTTCGTCATATGCCTTGTTCTTCCTCCTCCAAACATAGCGTTGATCCATGGGCCCAAACAGTTCTAATTTTGTTTCATCAGTCCACAGAACACTATCCCACAACTTTTGTGGTTTGCCCACATGACTTTTGGCATACTGCAGTCGACTCTTCTTATTCTTGGGAGACAGCAAGGGGGTGCGCCTGGGGGTTCTGGCATGGAGACCTTCATTACGCAGTGTGCGCCTTATTGTCTGAGCTGAAACTTCTATACCCACATCTGACAAATCTTTTTTCAGTTCCTCAGCAGTCACACGGGGACTTTTCACCACTCTACGCTTTAGGTAGCGCACAGCAGTCGAAGTCAGCATCTTCTTTCTTCCACGACCAGGTAGCATTTCAACAGTGCCCTTTGCCTTGAATTTGCGAATGATGCTTCCTATGGTGTCTCTTGGTATGTTTAACTTCTTTGCAATCTTCTTATAGCCATTGCCCTTCCTGTGAAGACAAATCACCTCTTCTCTTGTCTTCCTGGACCATTCTCTTGACTTCACCATGTTTGTAACCACACCAGTAAATGTCTAGAAGGAGCTGAGTATCACAGTCATTTTAAAGCTGCCTAATTGGTGCTTATTATGCTTGATTGGTGCTCGGTGACATCCACAGGTGTTTTCAATACCTGATCGAAAACACCTGAATGAACCTCTCTTCTTCAGAGTGGTAGTCTTTAAGGGGTTGAATAATTGTGGCAATGAAGAAACCACAAAAGAAACATTTACTACTGTATTACATAAACAATTGATGTTATTTTAGTTGCATTTGGTTCTTTAAAACGTCCTTGTAGGATTTCATTCTGAATACAATTCCAAATGTACACTATAGTCCCTAAACCCCTTTACAGCATTGGGGGTTGAATAATTTTGAACACAACTGTAAATACTGCAGAAGTATTTTCACTCACATACACACACACACTTCTGTTCTCCTATTTTCCCCCCTGAAGACTTCAACATTTCCACAGAAATTTTTATATTTCTAAGCATGACCACACCACATGACTTATCACAGCTTTAGCTCCACTCGCTCTCCAATGCTTCAACTGCAATTTTAACCCAGACCCTAATTTAATCTTTTGGTCACCAGTCTTGCAGAAGACAACACACACGGGCATTAGAAAACTCAAACTTTCTTAGCAACTTGCAGAAGCAAGCTGCAAGGTCTGACACACTTCATTTTTTGTAACTCGTGGCTTGTTGTTTGGGTCCAGGTTTAACATCAGTCAGCTGGAGGAATGGTTGCGGGGCAAGAATCTGCATCAAAGTGGGGCTGTGGAGACTCTGGAGCCTCTGATTCAAGCAGCACAGCTCCTACAGCTGAAGAAGAAAACATCAGAAGATGCTGAGGCAATCTGCTCTTTGTGCACATCGCTCACAACGCAGCAGGTAAGATACTAAAAACGCACATTTATACATATTTTTATGAGTTCAAATTGGTTATAAAAACATCTGAGAGAGAGAGAGAGAGAGTCCTGCCCATTTTGTCCTTGCAACAACACCATGAGCAAAGTCCAGCTGATGAAAGAATGATTTCTGCAGCATCACCAGTGAGCTTCCAGGCTGAGCAGAAACCTGACCCTGAATCTCCCTTTCTCACCTTCAGGCACCCTAACCCCTATAGCACATTGACTAACAACTGTATTAATCTGGAAGTTGAGTCATGGCAACTGGACTTCTTTCTTGTTAGGTTGAAACATTTCACTACGCGTTCAAGGAGCTTCTTCAGTCAGATGAGTAGCGAAACGTTTCAAGTTTTAACAAGAAATAAGTCCAGTTGTCATGACTCAGTGTCCAGATAGCCACACCTGGATGACTGAGAAGCTTCACAGATAAACTATATTAATCCTTACCACAGATATTTGCTCCTCAGCCTGAGTCTTACTTATGGGGGAACCTGCAAAATGGTCAGGAACAGACATGCCAAGAATTGATAGGTAGGCAGCAGAAGCTAGGGTTAAGCACTATTCCCCTCTGCCATTTTGTTCCCCTATACGCTGGTACCTCTTCCCTGGCTATTAACTTTCTGACTTACAGTTCTACCCAGACATCCTAAGTGTGCTTCCTGCCCCCTAGAGAGTAGGACCTGACAATGAAGAAGGAGATTTTACAGTGAGGGTTCAAAGTGTACTTCATCAATGGAACAAAAAACTTGCATCTTATTTTCTGCTCCACAGATTGTAAAAATACTCAATCTCTACACTCCCGTGAATGAGTTTGAAGAGCGAGTGACAGTAGCCTTCATAAGAAATATTCAGGTGAGCTCTGCAACAAAAAGAAATGGCTATGTGTCTGGTTTTTAGAAGGCAGGGGTTCTAAAATACAAAGCTTGGTAGGTTCTCTAGGGCAGGGGTCGCCAACCCCCTGGTCAGCGGCGTAATGCCGGTCTGTGGGCTTTCCAGAACTGGGCTGTGGAGACAGATCTCCGCCCGCCCAGGTAGGCATGTCGTGCTCGCGGGGGGTGGGGTGTCGTGAGATGCCCCCGTGCAGAGCCCGCCCCCCAAACAGTCCGCGGCCCCAAAAAGGTTGGGGACCGCTGCTCTAGTAAGTTGGAGGACCACAACTCCTACTCTTCAAACTTTTTCTACTTACAAATTTTCTTATTACTGCAAAAGCCCTCTTCTGCCCTCTGGTGGCCAAAGAAGTGGCTGGCAGAGTGCTGGGAGTCCTGGAAACATATATCAAAATTGTCCCCATAGTCCCCAGAAAACACAAGGGGACATTTGAACCCCTTCCAAATTTTTTCCAATCATTTTTAAATATGGGTGGAAGAGAATCCACTCAGGGATGCTGAGGGGGAGGGTGCATCTGCCCCACAGCTTGGCTAGAGTATGAGGATCAATTAGTCACGTTGACTACAAACCTGTTCATAGGCCATCTATTGTGTTGTGTTGCTTTTAGCAGCACTCTGTTGTGTTGCTTTTAGCAGCATTCTTTGTTGATTTTAAGGGTTTCAATGAATGTATTTGATTTTAAGTGGTTTTTACTTCACCCCAGCAACAGGAATCGAGTCATAACACAAGGACTAGGCTTCACTGCGCATAATTGTTCCATGTTGGGTTTCCACATATTTTCTATCCGTGTTGATGTACTGTTCTTCTCTCCCCCAACCCACCCCTTGTTCTTTTAGACCCAGTTGCAAGACCGGAATGATCCCCCACAGCTGCTGCTAGACTTCAAGTTCATGTTCCCTGTTTTATTTCCATTCAGTCCTTCCTCTTTAACCATGGACTCTATTCACATTCCTGCTTCTCTTGACCTGGAATTCCTCAACAAAGTCTGAAATTATTAACTTGACTTGTAGCCAAATTCCCAAAAGTTCAAGGGGAAAACAAAAAACACATACAAAGAAGAACTGAAGGATCTCTTCAAATGTGGACCAAATGAACAGTTAAAAGAACCAATACACATTAGTCAGTCAATCAGTCAGTGCTAAATTGTACAGCATAAGAATCTAATCTAATATTTTGGTTGAATTCTTATATTTTGGTGGGGTTTTGTTTATTTGTGGGGTTTTTTTTGTTGTTTTTGAGGGAAACAGATCTTTCAGCTAAAACTTGAAACAAAGGGGATTTGTATTGTCTCATACCATGCTAAAATAATTGTCTCCTGGTGACCATTAAGACCCAACATTAGTAAACGGAATATCTATTTTAATTTTTTTAGCCTATCAAAACGTTGAAATAACAATGAGAAGGCTATATGAACACATCTTTAATCTTTGCAGGCTTATGAGTTTGGCTGACATATATTAGAAGCAGATATCAGTTTTTCAGTTGTTACCAGCAGCCACTGTTTAAAAACAAAATCTTGTTTCAGCAAATAAGGTTTCTGCAGGCCACACTAAAAATTCATGACAGTTTGAAATGAAACTGTGGGGCAGAGATGAACATCACTTGGAAGCTTGAGAAGTGGTTACATTTGTTCCCTTAGCTCCCTTTAACCACTAATGTGTATGTACCATAAAGCAATCGCTCTGAGAGTTACCAGTTCACCTTTCTGGCTATCAGATGCTAATAAATATTTCTTACATAACAACAAAAAGGAAAGATGTCACAGACTTACCAGTAATTATAATTCTATAATGTGATGATCCGTCTGCAGGCTACAATAGGGTTTTCAGACCAGTCTAGAAGCTGATTCAACCACTGTCCATGGCTTTATGATGCTTTCTCTAATAACAATATTGGAGAGAGAGAGAGAGAGAGAAGGCAGCATTTTATTTATTTCAAAAGATGGTGTTAGTTTTGCTAGTCCAGGTGAAGAGCACTTCCACTTGTGGCCATCCAAGTCCCTGGTATAAATGCCCTGGCTCAATTATGTGTCCTTGAAGGGTGAGAATTCCCCAAATCCACAATCTCTTGCCACTGATATAGGACTGCCTGAGCCATAAGCATAAAATACATCTTCAAGGAACATGCTGTTTCCAAGTCAGATGTGAAAGACACCATATCTCACTATGTGACAGCGTATCAAACAGTCACGAAGAGAATATCACACCATAACATTCCGGTAGCAAAACTGATTGAAACAGAAGCCTTTTGGGAGAAAAAGAGCTGGACACTAGGACTTGTGGCCCATGCCCTTATCAGCACATAAAGCAACGCAAATGGGCAAGAGAACTAGTTTCCTGCTGATACCACAGCACTGGTATCCAAGTAACTGTCAGTACTTTATTAAACACTACAGAGTCAGAGCCCCATTGTCCCATTAGTGGAAAGAACAGAAACTGCTTCAACAATATACGATTGACAGTGCATTAAATATTTTAGCTCAATGGGGTTTTCAGAATTGTGTTAAGATAAATAGCTTTCCCAACCTCCACTACTTAGGCATTCATACACGTCCGTTTGCAACTATTCTTCAGCTGCAGTTAAACCATCAATGTCTTCAAAGGCAGCAACCTACGTACCATCACAGCAGGTCAGGTAGTAGCAATGGTTGCATGAATCTGTAAGGAGACATGTAAAAAAGTCATTATTTTGCAACTTTTGTAGCCTCTGCTTACTATCCAGCCAATTCTAACGGAGACATGCTACTTCTGCTGGACCACAAAATGTGATAGGTGGGTGTTTCTTTTTTCCCAGTAGTAGATATGTGCTAAGAATACTTTTAATTAGACAATATGAAATTTTTCAGAGTAAATTTACTTGTTATAATCCCATTCCCCTCTTGGAAAGTGTCTAGCTTCACTAACAAATCAAAACCCCAACAGTCTGCCCTGGTTCAAGAAAGAATTGGAGCACTTGCCCAGTTTTAGCCCATAATTAATCCCAATGGTGCCAAGCCCTCTCTAAAGTTTCAGCAATCTGTAATTCAGTTATTGCTGACTCAGGTACTGAATCAGCAATACCTGAGTCTTGTAATACTGAGTCTTTAAATTTAAAGATAGACATTCCTATCATCATCTGGCAAGCAAAAACAAAACAAAACCTCTGTCCTTCAGCCAATCCCGATATGTGCTGCCATAAATGTCAGTAGAAGAAATCTAATGTCATATAGATGTTGTAATCCTTGAAGGAATTCTGGGTAAGAAAAGGGGTGATCTCTTACTAGTAACACTTCATTTTTCCTTAATAATTTACAGTAAAGTGATTAAGCCAGTAACTGTTGCAAAATTGTGCTTTCACTAACACTACCTTCCAATATTCCATATTGCTTCAATTCTACAGTGCCTTCTGCTTCCTTTCTATAGCTTTTATCCCTAGCAAGGGTGTTCTGCTAGGCTTCAAAGATGCCCAAGGCACCTGCTGCGATAAGCTGAACCAGCCATATTTCAGCCAAGGAAAATTTCCCTTGACAGCACTCAGTCACACCTGTACTTAAATGTGGAAAACTGCAAATAATCATAATAAATTGTTCTTGTCATTTCCTGTACACAGCAAAGTAGTTCTGGAGCAAGACAGTACAGGGCCTATACTCAACAGCTACCACAAACTGCTCTATTAGGGTAAATAGGGCAGGCAGTCCTTTGTACTGGTGGGGCATATGCTTGGCAGAATAAGGAAGCATAACCAGCTTGCTACCTCCAAATAAACAAATACATTGTGTGTTGCCCTTGTCAAAGCACTTTAAAAAAAAATACAGCATAGCAACAATTTCCACTGAAATTCTGGCTTTTTGGGGGGGGTAGTTTTGCTTTTAGATTTCTTTTTCTCCAAATAAACACTGCAATTCCAACTGATTCTCTTTTTCCCCCAGTCATGGTCAATAAGACAATATAAAAGCCAGACTCTATCAGCACCCATCCCTCCAAGCTACAGTGACTATTTCAGCAACCAGGGAATTTTCTCTCCATATTACATCACCTTCTTCTTTTCAAATAAATCTTTCATCTCTCTAAAAATAAATCACCCCTAAGGTGGAGCATTTTGCCAATTGTGATGGATTCACAAAGGCACCATGTACGTGAACTAGGTAAGCACTTCTTAATTACCCAGTGTAATACAGATTTGTCATCTTTCACTGTAGAATAAGCAGAAATGATGTCTTCACACAATCAGCCCCTAAGAGTGCCGGTTTTAGATATTCAGTTATGTGACAGGCATGTTTCATCACTGTGCAATTTCCCAATGTGTTCCTCAATACAATATAATTCCAATTCAGGAAGCAAAATGAATGGAGCTACAATATAGAGACCATAGAAAATATATTTTAAAAGTGTGGATAATGCTCTTCCAGAGCATAAGAGTATTTCACTACAGGACTACAAGGAAATTAATTTATATTATGTATTATATCTGTGTACATTTTTTAAAAATCTGTTAGAATAGAAATTGAGTATCTGTGTTTAATTTATCTGCAAACTTGCATTTTCAAAAACATCTCATGTTAAATAACTTTGATGTAACATTTTTGTTATCTGTTTTTAAGATATTTTGAAATTTGCTTTTTAAAAGGACAATTCACTGCTATTATGCCATGCACGCACAGGCCTTCTCTCTCTAATCAGCCATATCCATTTGGTTTAAAACACTTCAGCACAGCTAAAAGTGGATAGTGTCAATTATTTCATTCTCTTTTAAAAACTATTTCTGATTGCTTACTTTCCTACTGTGTGCCTTTTCACCATTATTCTAAATCACTGTCTGTTAGAACTGTAATAACTGTGGAGAAATGTCACCAAATATTGTCTAGATTTGTATGTAGGCAGTTGAACATGGAAAGGGAGGTGGACATGTTTAAGGAGCACATTGTTCAAACATCAACTGCAAAACCCACCAGTTTGCAAAAGCCAAAGTTGCACATGGATCTGGATTTAACTAGCTTTCCTCTACACAGCTCTACAAATACCTCCAAGTATAAATGTAGTTTTTAAAAGCTCAGTGAAGGAAACAGCAAGAGGAAAAAAAGATTCATCACTCTGATATGTGCATACTGTCCCCTGTTCACATGTACTGTTTGTCAAGATGAAAATATTATTTGGCAGGCTCAAATATTCATAAGCATATATTCTGCTTTAAGCGGAAATGGCATATTACAGAGTCACTTGTACTGAAAAAAAAATGCCACATGTTCATGACCTCTCCCCCCACACACACATTACTTCTACATGCTTACTACAGTGCATATGGAAATAAGACTTGATCAGTGTGTAATGAGAGATTTCCTTGTCAACCAAATTTAAGTGGAAATCTTTTTGTAGTTTCTGGAATAATTTATAGAAGTTAATTTATGTTCACAGTTTTTTTACAAGCGCGATAGGAGATTCAGTGTACAAAAGCAGTTTTCAGTCATGTTCCCCAAGAATGGTGTAACAAGTAGCCACAGAACATTAGTAGCACCCTTTCATCCAACTGTGAGAATTTATGGCTAGAGAAAAAAAAATTCTGTTCAAGTAGCAGGAGGCGACAGTGTCTAATCAGCTCCTCTGAATCAAGAGAAAAAGACTCCTGCTACCTCCAGAAGGGAATACTGCCCTGTATTTTGTTAGCAGCATGTTTCCTGCTAACAAAATGCTGGAGGGAATATTCCAATCTCTGAGACATAACAGACGTTCAGTACTTCTGTTTTGAAGTGAGTAAGTGTACGATTTTGTGTAAGATTTCTTTTGTGTAAGATTTCCTTCATTATGATCTGGGTTTAGGGAGTGAATGCCTTATTTAAAGAATTGCTCATACAATTTCATCACACACATATTCAGTATAACTACTGTCCTCACCCTCAGTAAATGCCAATGAAATTAGACATTTGATATACCTGATGGATTAGGAGTTTGGTGATGAAAGTTCATGCCAGAATAAACATTACCCTTGGCGTGGTGCAGACTTAACACTCTGGCTTCTCCTAGCCTGTTATTCTCCCCAACCCATTTAAGCCACTCCAACTAAGAAGGATGGTAATACCACTCTAATCATATTTGATTATAACTAGACTCCCTCTTACCCAGGGATTGCTAACCATTTTCAGATCCCGATTATGAAAGAACACTGGCATTAACTGATTAATCACCAGGGCTGATACGGTATATAACCAGGGTTAAGACTAGCGTAAATTCACACATATGAAGGTAATACTTGTTCATATGTAGTAACACTTAACATGGTTTTCTACTCATTCCAGCACTACATTAGCTATGTATACAGTACTTGATTGTCAGAAACTGTGTAATAACGGTGCTCAGAACAACCTGGGATGATACAATTATTATAGTTGGCTATCCGTAACTGTGCCAATTGAAACCTACTGCACAAGTTAGCCTTTATGTTATGTTAGTTATCTCTTCAAGCCACTGTATTTTTAAATCAGTAAAATGTTTACTGATTTTTTTTTCAGTTTTCTGAATTAAGGCTGGATTTAGCTATAAATAGTTAATAGTATCTCCATAAAGGTTGCTGAGTTGTTTAAAGAGTACAAAACCAGTAAAAAATGTTCATTTAAGGCAGGGTAGGTACCATGCTGGTGCTGCCCCAGTCTGGTTTTTTCCTAAGGGAGACGACTGCCCCAGTTAAAGGTATCTGGGGACTGACTTAAAAGGGGAAAAACATGCATTTGGTCACCACAATAGCAAATTCAGCAGTAGCAGGAGGGCTTGTGGTTCTGGGGTTTTCAATGCAGCCTTCAAACCCTGAAAACTATTCATGACTGTGTAAAAGGAAAATGAGGCATATGTCTAACAGTGCACAATCCAAGATCGGTTATGTACATGCCAACTCTCACGTGCCAACTATTAAGCTCTGGGTGGCTTAAGACTGCTCTAAAGGTGCTTGAATAACATTTGACAGCAAGTCTTTGAAGTGTAGATAAAAAATTACTGATTATATAAAAAAATTTCATTTTGAACAAACCTGTAAACTACACTTGCTGTTTATAGAAAAATGACTGTAATAGTCACTGTCATTTAACTGTGCATAAAATATTGTGAAATAAATAGTTTGGAATAAATGAGAGTGTGCTGGACTTACTTTTCACACACTGTCTGCATTTGATGTGGTATTTTTCCACAACATTAGCCATTCCCATTTTCACAGACAGAAGATAAGGATGCTTTCTCCTCTTAACTATATTGCTTGATACTGGTAATCCTTTTAATGGTAGCATATTCGTCCATATATCTGCTGAAGATGCAGTGGTGCCATTGGAGGTTTTAAAAAATTAACAACAATATTAGATCTTTGAATTACAGATTGGTTGACAGATTTTGGACCCAAGGCCAGATGGCTACAAGAGGGGGGAAGAAAAGGTAGTGTAGCATCTCTCTGCCTTGTCCACACATCTACAATACATCTGCAGTTCACAAATAAGCTGCCCAAAGGCAAGCATTTTAATGGAAGGTTCTTACAAATGCTCGGCTGCATATATTTATTTATGTAACATACATGGCCTCCTTTCGTACTGCAGTTCTTAACAATGCCAAGTGCAAGGAGCAAGCTGAATCGGTAGCTGTTCTGTAAGAGAGATGTTCCAGGAGATATTGAGGTCCCAAAGCATTTAGGGCTTTATAGGCGATAACCAGCACCTTGAATTAAGCATAAAAACAGGGAGCCAGTGGACATGTGCCAAAACTGAAGACAGGTGTTCATATCTGCTGGTACCAGTAATCAGTCTGGCTATTGCATTCTGGACCTGCTGGAGTTTCCATACTACCTTCAAGGGCAGCTCTACGTAGAGAGCAGCATAGTAGTCTATTCTGAAGATTACCAAAGCATGGAGCACTGTTGCTGAGCATTTCCTGTCCAGACAGGTGGAGCATTGTTGCTGAGCATTTCCTGTCCAGACAGGGGCGTAGCTGGGAAACCAGTCAAAGTGGATAAAAAGCACGCTTGGCCATGGCAGATAACTGCACCTCCATAGAGCGGGCTAGAGGCAGGAGTTCACTCAAACCGAATATAACAGATCTCTGCATCTTTAGCTCTACATCAGGATCTTGGTGTTTCAGCTTGCATTTGACAGGATTTAATGAAAAAGTAGCTGGCTGGAACAGCCCAGTTAGCTGGACTATCTGACTGCAGAGCCAGCAGTTAGGAGTGTAATTCCCACTGTCTTCCCAGGAGAACAGTCCGCCTCTGTGGCATTTAACAAACTACACAGTCCCAGAGAACCCTCCGAAGAAGGAACTAGCAAAACATTTCATACCATTATACCTAGAAAAACCTTAGAAAGTGTCACAAAAATTAAAGATCAATCTGATGACACACAATCACTATTTTTAATGAAAAAGTGTTTGGAAGAAGGGAATATTTTTTTTTCACACATAACCCTTCCCAGGGTTATGAAAGAAAGTAGTCTACTTATATGAAGATTACATTAGGTGTGTAATGGGAGTGTTTGGGAGAAGGGAATATATATTTTTTCACACATAACCCTTCCCAAAGGGTCGCAATATACTGCATGCCACTCACTTTAACAATTTTCACATTAAAAAGAAAGTAGTCTACTTATATGAAGATTAAGACAGCAGTTCCATACAGACATTTTTGAGAATAAGCTTCATTGAACTTAATGCGACTTGGCTCTAAGTAAAAACGCATAAGACTGTATAGCATCATATTTAAAGCTTGAACCTGTCACTCAGGGTTCTTACATTAGCACCCTGGAAGAACCACTGTCAACGACAACCACAACGGAACTGCAGCACTGGAAGAAATTGTACAGATCACTGAGTCCAGCCTCTGTCAGGGAGGCACAGTGGGGAACTGGAATTCCCAACCTCTGGCTCCGCAGGCTAATACTAAACCATTTAGCTATCCAGCAGTTCATCTTCACCAGTGAAACAATCCACACTGTCATCTGTCAAAAGTCTTGCCAAGATCTACTGGAGTATGTATGGCTGGTGAACTTACATGCCCTAACACCTGTGTAGCCTTAGACAAGCTGCATGATCCCACAACATCACCAGAACAAGAAACTGGTAAACCATTTCTGATTATTTTACACCTAGAAAACCCTGAGAATGTCACCATAAGTCAGAATCAATTTGACAGCGTATCATCACCATCAAAATATTACCTAGAAAATGATTAATTTTTTTGTCAAATTAGTCTGAATGGTGAAAATATATAAAAGACTGGAATGGGGGTGGAGAGGCAAGGAAATATGTAATTTGTTTCTGTTCTGTCTTTCTTCTAAACTGCTCTAAAAATGCTCTTGGCTCTTCACACAATATTCCTATGAGGTAGAATAACTGGATTTAGACTGCTTGGCTCAGGAAAATAAGTGAAATTTCACAAAGGAGCGATTTCAACTCTGCTTTCCTCAGTCTTAGTCCTACACAACAACCATTAATCATAGCAACTCAAAGGATGGTATGGAAAATTTTTCTTCTCTCTTTAGGGCTCCTCCTGGCTCCTCACATCCTGTGATGTCTTCTGCACATCAGCAGCCAACTGCACCAACAGCAGCTCGCCAATTACTTTCTTAGTCTCAGTTGCCTTGATTAGCACAAATTCTATCATTCAGTTTCATAGAATTCAGATTGCGCAGTGGGCTATTCATCAAAGACCAAGTCCTTTGCTGCAAGGGGCACAACCTCCTAAACCGGAGCACTTGAACTCTCACACCGTATTAATTCAAACACATAGTTCTTACTTTCAATCCTGGAGTAGTTCCCTCAGATAGGAAAATCTTCTAGTTCGTACATTTTTAAATGGAAATAAGTGTCTCTTCTTCCTGCGCTGGAAAAGAAAGGAGAAAAGGTGAGAGCAGAAGTAGCTTCTTTATCTTAAAAGTAAGGCTGGAGATCAATGCTGAACCATACTTTTAAGAACTTACTGGAATTGGGTCACAGAGCAAAGAAAATGGCTTGTGAAGGCAGAATGCCTGATACCATATTTCCAGGTTTCTAGGATTTGGGCAAAACTATTTTTTTTTCATTGAATATGATGTTCTAGGACAGAGGTATCATACTCAATTTCATCTTGGGCTGCACCGGCATTATGGTTGCCCTCAAAGGGCCGGTTGTATCTGCAAGACTATATAAATGTATCTACTCTTTATCATATTAAATATAATCGTACTCATTCGATTATTACTGGTATTAGTAATAATGTAATACAGTAACTAACTCTGAAAGTAAAAGTCTATGATCAAAGTCTAGAAATAGTGTACAACTATTGTACTGAAGAGGTCCAGTTAGACCGTAGCCATCTTGCTTTTTGTAACCTGCTTCGCTATATGAATGTGTAAAGCAATTATATTAAGGTTTTGCTTAGGCAGGCAAGAATTAACAAGGGAGGAGGGGGTGTTCTTCTGAGTTTCTTTCAATACTTACAATTAAAGTATTCTCTAAATTGGAATCCTGTCTTTGGCGTCTGACATGAAGTAATGAATTATTACCAACAGCCAAGCACTTGTAAGAATTCCTACTAATTACAGAATCTTCTCCCATTTCTTCTCCTCCTCCCACCCACCCCCTTAGCCCTTCTTTCATGTTTTGCCTTATAAAAATGTATACAGTACTTTTGTATCTGGGGTGCACTTCTTCTCCACATGTTTTCTGAGTTTGAGGTTTGTGTCTATTTGCTTGCTTTCAGCTCCAAATAAACAAATATTTATTGGATCTCTCTGTCTCTGGCTGATTAATGCATACAGGAAAAAAACAGGAAATGGTCTTGGTACCCTTTAGTACAATTTATTGAAAAGTGACTTTTAGGTTTATTCTTCACAGAAGAAAAGGCTTGCAAATGTCATTCTACTTGAATGCCATTTTATCTTCTCCAGTGCTGCCCACAGAGCTTATTTATGATACATGAGCTTGCCACACACAAACACTGCTGCTAGCAGCACGAAAGCTATTTTGAAAAAAATACAGAATATTTTACAGTAGGCCTGATTCTGCTGATGGGGGTCCAGGCAACTGTTTCCCTTCCAAAATAGGTGACTACCTTATTGAAGAGCCAATTTATTCAAAAAATCACATAACTGGGTTTAAAGCATACAACTGAAACGGTTTCTGGAAGGAGTTCTGGTTGATTTTCTCTGTTGGTGGTGTTGCTCTCTCTCTTTCCCCCCCCCTTTCCTTTCTTTTTTTCTCCCCTTTCCTTTCTACGTCACTACCACCTTTGGAAATTTAGTTTTGTTAATCTGACACTACAGTCACAGATTAACGAAGCATATACTGTAAAACTAAGAACTACTCCAAAGAGCACCTAAACTATGCAATCCGCTACCAAAAACAAACCAAACAAAAAAAAACTTCAAATCTTTCAGTGGTTCCTGATGAAACCATATCTGCACTCCTCGGCTTGAAGTTGCGGGAAAGCATCTAGCTGAGGCTTTATTTAAGAGAAAAACATTTTATTCCTCGTTATCTGTCACCTTTCCCCTTCACCTGTTCTGGCCACCCGAAGAGGCGCTTTACCGCGGGGAAGGCCACGTTGCCAGGGAAACGGCCGGCCGCCATGTGCCGAGCCTAAACGGCTCCTCGCTTTACTCTCTTGGTCCCGCCTAGCTTAACATTCGCAGGTGCAGATTCCACGCTAACCGTGATTTTTTTGGGGGGAGGGGGGAGAGTTTGGGTTTCAAAAACAACGAAATAAATAATAAATTATTTTTTTAAATAACCAAGTCCTTCTCGGGACCTTCCCTCCGCTTCAAGGATTACTAAAGGCGAGCCGTTGGTTATTCCAAGGCTAAAGAAGCCCTTCTGCTTTTGGGAGGGCTGGTTTGGTTTCCTCACGAAGAACCATAAATAACGCCAACAGCCCTGCCTCGTGACAGGGACGACCTTGGCTTCAAATTCAGGCACCCCTTGATCTCTTTGAGGTTCCCTCGCAAACGTACCTGAACCTCGGTCGGTCGGTCTGGGTGGCGTTGGGGAAGCCATGGAAAGGATGATGATTTTTTTCCTTCCAGGACCTCCTTGGCTCCGAAGCGGCTTTGGCAAGATGAAGCGCCTGCCAAGGGCAGAAGAAGGAGGGGAAAGGGCGAGGAAATGGGCTGGGGGGAGAGAGTGGGAGGGCCCAGTCCCTCCGCAGCACCGGGCAGGATTGCACCACAGTCCAGGAGGGGCGGCCTCAGCGAGGCTTCCGCGGACGGAGGGTTTTTCCGTCTCACAAAGGCAAGAAGAGTCGAGTCAGCCCAGCCGCCGCCATGGCTCTGCTCAGAGGTAAGGCTCCCTCCAAAAACTTCGCCCGTTTCCAATGCCTCCTCCCTCCTATTTTTGGTTTAGGCCCAGATCTTGCAACGTCCCGTCCCCCCCCCTCAACCCTCCGGGCGGGCCCAGTGTGGCTGGTCGTGGACCCCACCGTCTCTCTCTCTATATAAAAGTATATTTAGTTTAGCAAAAAGCAAAGCACGTTGCATATAAACCGCCCCGTGGTGCTTCAAACTTGCTCTGTGGACGGGTTTACAATTTAATTATACAGGTTACACATTGCACACACACACACACACGAATGAGCTGGGTGCTCAGATTTGGTGATTGCGTGTGCCCTCCGGAGACCGCGATGTACTTTTATATAGGTCGCTTGAATAAATATAGGTGAGTCCAAAGTACACGAAGGTAAATGAATTGACTCTTAGTTGGTGTTATTACAACTACCTTTTTTCCCCTAGCTGTTTTTTCTTTGGAGTACCACGCTCGTTTTTAAATTGTATTTGCTTATCCATCTAGTTTTAAAACTTTGATTATTCCCTAGGGAAGATCAGGATCATTTTCAGGTTACGAATGAGTATTGAAACGGAAAGGTAGTAACTTGCAGTCCATAACCTGGGCGTGGTTCCTGAGGAGTAAGGCCATTTGCTCCGTGGTAATATGGTGGGATTGCAGATTTCAAGGAAGCACATGACACATTAATCCTGTATAAGGTCAGATATCTTTGTGTGAACACTTTATTGTGCATAGGTGAGGAGGTTCTTCCTACACTAGAAACTGGGACTGGTAATTCTGACTTATAGATCGACTATAGTAATGTGTGGCCTTGCAGATGTTCTAACAGTATCCTCCCCAAACAACATAACTGTAGGTGGGCATGAAATGTGGCTGGGAGGCTGCATTTTACACATCCAGACTGCCTGGTCGCTATTGTGGTGTCATTTCCCATTCACCCATCCCTTCCAGTGCAGAGAAATGAACCCATTGTATTCTCCCCAACCTCTCACAGAATGATTGCTTGTTGGACAGAAGCCAACTAGAGACAAGTGCTTCAAGTTGCAGTCTCCCTTACATGTACACAGAAACTACCCTGTTCCCCCTAAAATAAGACCTAACCTGAAAATAAGCCCCAGTATGATTTTGCAGGATGCTCATCATATAAGCCCCACCCCAAAAATAAGCCCTAGTTAAGTGAAACCCCACCCTCCATCATTGTGCAGCAACCAGAAGACGACATGACTTGTCTTTGAATAAATGTAGATTGTTGTACATGGAAAAAAAAAAACATGCACTGAAATAAGCCCTAATGCATTTTTGGAGCAAAAATTAATATAAGACCCTGTCTTATTTTTGGGGAAACAGGGTTAAGTGGGAAGTAGCTGGCTGGATATCTCAGTGGTTTAGGTATCTGGCTGCAGAGCCAGAGGTTGGAATTCAGTTTCCAACAGTGCCTCCTCTGAGTAGTGCCAGCCTGTGTGGCCCTGGGCAAGCTGCACAGTCCCAGATTGCCTCCAAAAGGAAGGAATAGTAAACCACTTTGAAGTATTCTCTACTTGGAAAACTCTGAAAAGGGTCACCATAAGTCAGAATTGACTTAACATTAATATTAAGTAAGAAGCAATGCCAAATCCCTTTTACAGCTGAGATGCAGCCTGCTTCCAAAGGTTAATTGATAAGTTTGTTAGTATTTGCTTCAGGTTGGTTCAAAGTGTGAGAGACATGTGACTGGTTTCAGAGCTGAAAGCCATTGTTTTTGAGGCTTCACCTCTTAGAATTGCCAGATAGTATGTCCATAGGTTATGCTGGCCAGGGAATTTTGGAAGCTGTAATATTAAAACATTATAGCTCCAATTCTGCTTTGCTTTCAAAGGAGCTATGTAGCTGGAAATCTGCATAGTCTGACATTGTGATTCCACAGTGGCTGTCCAGATGCCAGGGAAAGCCCATTTCCAGTGCTCACCTTCTGTTGTTGGCCCTGCAACCAATGTTTGGCAGCACACTGTCATTAATGCTGGATGTAACAGTCTCAAGATTAGGAGTCACTGAAAGCCATGTTGTTGTCATTTAGTTGCGTCCGACTCTTCGTGACCCCAGGGACCAGAGCACGCCAGGCCCTCCTGTCTTCCACTGCCTCCCGGAGTTGGCTCAAATTCATGTTGGTCGCTTCGATGACACTGTCCAACCATCTCATCCTCTGTCGTCCCCTTCTCCTCTTGCCTTTACTGAAAGCCATAGCCACCAGGAATAATTCCATTTTAATGTGCATGCACAATTTTGTCTGTGAAGTCACCTTTTGGGTTTTGTTTGTTTTCCCCCCAACAAGCTGAACCTACAACAGAGGTTATTCTGCAACATTGTGACCTGAACAATTCTGAACAAGGGCTAGGATCCTGATGCACACTAATAGAGCATAATCTTATACAGTGGTGCCTCGCATAGCGAGGTTAATCCATTCCGGATTAACCTTCGCTATGCTGAAGCATCGTTGAACGGATCAAAACAACCAATTGGAACGCATTAAACATCGTTTAATGCGTTCCAAATGGGCCAAATACTCCCCGTTCAACGAAGCTTCGTAATGGCCGGCAGCCATTTTCGCGCCCTCGCCTCACTTAACGAGGGCGCGAAAACGCTGCACGCGGCCATTTTGGGCCATTTCCGGGCTTCCGGCGGCCATTTTGGCCGCCGAACAGCTGATCATCGGGCTTCGTTTTGCGAAGATCGGTAAGCGAAATGCTTACCGGTCTTCGCAAAGCGAATTGTGCCCTATAGGAAAAACGTTAAGCGATCGCATTAGCAATCCGAAAAAACGGATCGCTATGCGATTTCATCGTTATGCGGTGCGCTCGTTAAGCGAGGCACCACTGTATCAGTATTGTTCCTTGTGAATTCCGGGTGACTCAAGGCTGTTTGATGTAACAAAGATTCTGCTCAAACAAGATAGAGACCACTCTCTGAGACCTTTTCCAATGCATCCTTCAGAGTCCAGAGCTTCTCCAAAGATGGGGGAAATCCCTGGGAACTGCTAGAATCTGAAATTTACCCCACAGGGCTCCAGAGAAAGCTTGTCATTTTTAAAAGAAATGCTGCCACCATCCCTCTTTGAAAAACTAGAGCACAGAGAGCTCTTAACATGGTCTCAAAACTCATAAGGTGGTCATGCTTGGAAGTGGATTTAGAACCTGCATTCCTCTAAAAGCAGTCTCCAGATAAAAGGTTTTTAAAAGTTTGTTTAAAAAGAAATCAAATAAAAACAAATCAGAATATGCTTGGCTGAAAGCCAGGAAACAAAAGGGTTGCAAAGTGATGAAACAGTTGCAAAATAAAGACACAAAGTTTTGAATGTTTGCAATGAAAATAGACACAAGGAAACAAAAAAAAACCCACTGTCCTGCCATTGGGGCTGTTTTTCTGCTTCTCTCCTCCAAATTCAAGGCGCTACCCTAATTCTTTATGAACACATTCTTAAAAGAGCAAATAACTTGCACAACACACATTGGATGCAACAGTATCCTGGGCAGTTTCCCCAGGTCTGAGCCCACTTGCCAAATAGAGGTTTTGTTGTTACAGATCTACTGCATTTTGCCTTTGGGATCATCTCATGTGGTACATGAGATTTTGGCCCCTGCCTTAATTCGAATAATACATTGGAATTGGTTTAGTGCCAAAAAAAAGGCCCACAACTCACACAATGCAAGATTTTGATTCATTTTTTCCCTACGACATTTAACGCTGAATGGCATAACCTACACCTTTTCCAGTTCTACTTATTTAGATACTGTTTTAGACTTACAGTATATACTGCCTCATATTGCTTTGAGCACTCTCAGAGCAGTTTACTACATGATTAAGCTAGGAAATCTTTGCCCCCCCCCCAGTGATTTTACTGATCTCAGAAGGATGGATGGCTGAATCACCTTTGAGCCAACTACCTGAACTTCTCAGGATCAATCTCAGGTTATGAGTAGAGCTTTTACTTCAGTTTAACCATTGTGCCATGGAGCTCACTGAATCAAAAGGAATCTTATAGGAAGTAAAGTGACCAGAATTATATATACCACTCCAATTGTGGTTCTGTCATAGATTTCTGTACAAACACTATGATATTGCATAATCTTGAACTGAAAGCTACCTACTTCTGTTGGTTTTTTTGCTTGAATGAGTTTGTAAAGTGTTCTGCATTCCCTCTGACTGTGGAAAACATCCCATGAGATTCATTCTTCTTGCTCTTTTGGTGACTGATTAAAAACTTTCTGTTTTGGACAGCTCAGAAAATTGTGTGACAGATATTCTTCTTTGTTATTGTTGTTTTCCATCTTCCAAACTTGTTTTCATTTTTCTGTTTGTTTTATTTCTTTTAAGCATTGTTTGAAATCCTGTTGCACAGCTCTGCATGCACAGTGGTGATGATGTAATTAGCAGTGGGAAATTGCTATTGATTACAGGAGGTTCACCTTTAATTAAAGATGATTTGGGGATGCACACAACTCACACATAATGCAGTGTCATTGCATAAATTTGCAGCTGCGGGTGATATCGCTGTTGCACATGCAGAGCTACACAATAGGATCCAAAGGAGATTTCATTCAGCAAAAATTTGCAGCTGCCGGTGATATCGGTGTTGCACATGCAGAGCTACACAATAGGATTTCAGCTGCTGATTTGTTTTTAATTGTAGTGCGCTGTCCTGAGCAAGAAGAATGTATTGGAAGGGCAGGGCCTATGTTTTATAAATTAATAAGAACCTATTTGACACCTCTTTGTTTATTCTAGCCCTGCTGTCACTCTCTTTTCACAGATGATCTTGCAGTCTACTGTATTGAGGTCAAATTGGGACATTTTTATTAATCACATGTATTTATTATATTTCTGATGTTTACATACTGCCTGATTTAGTGACAGGCATTACTCTGGATGGTTTAAAATTAAAAGAAGAAAATTAGCTCATAAATGTACCCCACAAACCCAAGATTTGAACCACATGAACCATACAGTACTTCAGTATTCAGTAGAGCAGAACACAAGTGTTATCAGTCTTTTCTATAACAGCTGTTTCTTCTCCTAATGATTAAGTAAAAACATACCTAATTGGAAGGGTGTTTGATCACTCTTCTTTGGGAAGGAGACATAACTTACTGAGAGCATATATGGTATGAATGCAAAAGATTCCAGATTCAATGTGGGGCATCTTAAGATAGGCTAAGAAGGGTCCCCCTTCCCTACCATCCTGCTAAGCACTGCTTATTTGTGAAAATTAAACTATCCTGGGCTAAATGGACCAAGGGGCTGCCTTGGCATGACTCCCGTTTGTGTTTCTGCTTTGCCTTCCAGGTGTTTTCATTGTTTCTGCCAAGAGGACCCCATTTGGAGCTTTTGGAGGTCTCCTCAAAGACTTCACTGCTACCGACCTCTCAGAGATTGCAGCACGCTCAGCTCTGTCTGCAGGCAAAATATCTCCTGAAATCATTGACAGTTTGATTGTAGGCAATGTCATGCAGGTGGGTGGAACCCAGCAGTTGCCAGTAGCCAATCCACTTACATAGGCACATGCTAAGACTCCTTCCATGTTGGCCCCTGCTCAGTGGCTCTGTTTCAGAGTTAGAAATAAACAACAGCATCTAGAATTCCGCTGTGCCACTTGGGAAAAAAGTTTCCATTGGAGTATTTTCTGCGTTCTGATGGCTTTGTTGGGGGGTAGGAATACATGAATATATTCTCACACAAAACTGTAAGTCAGTTTTGTGATGGCAGCAAGAGGAGCAACCATTCCTTACAGATAAGCCCTCCTTTTGAACAGCTATTTGGATTCATCCTAAAAGCAAGGCTGTCGTCTTCCTTGACTCTCCGGTCTTTCTGTACTCGTTTTGTTTTGTCGACTTATGGCTTCAAGATTGTGATGGAAACCTCTTGAAGGATTCTGTTATCTGCTTCTCTCCTCCTTGTACTGTCTTACTCTTTCCCCATTTTTGCTGGAATCCATGTTTTGAGATGTACCAAGCAGATGTGATTTGCTGTCCTGTGTGTGTGCTGCTTCTTACAAACCTAAGACCTGCCTCACAGGAGAAGGCTTAATGGTCCGACTTCTTCAGTAATGTTTGCAATATTCCAGCAAGACGATAGGTCCGCCAGAAATTTGCTGGTGAGACAGGACATGTCATCCACCCATCCCTGAGATATCCCTGATAGTGGCAATTTGAATAACTTGGCGAACTTTAGATTTAAAACTTTAGATTTATGTCTAGATCCTATACGTGAAATCAGAAATCATTCTCAGTATGGCTAGCCTGTATGACAAAAAATAAAAATATTGTAGCACCTTAACGACAAACATTTGCACTGTGAACTTTCATTGATTACAGCCCACTTTTCAGACCCATGGAAGTGGAAGGAAGTTATTGCAGTTCATGGGCATTCACATGGGTGAGGATCAGGATGCATGAAGTTAGTCACTGCAGCAAATTGCTGCTAGTTTAATAGTCACTTAGACTTCTCAACACACACCAAGTTGCATGGCTGGCATATGAACTGAGCTTCTTAACTAGCAGCAGTTTGCTAGGGCAATCTGCATTGTTTGACTTACACCATCTATGTAAGTAACAGGATTTGGGCCATCAAAATAAATGTTAGTGTTTGAGGTGCCACAATACTCCTGTTTTTATTTTTGTTTGCTTTTATTTTACATGCTGAATCAGACTTATGTTCAGAAGAGATTGGTCCAAAGTAGGTGACTCAGATTACAACTGTACAGCCTGATCCTATGCATTGCTTCCAAGTCTGCATGGAATTATAGTATGTGGATTGCCTGTGTCTCAGCTACCTTTCTTTGAGCAAAATTAGCCCATGTGCTTGTGTGTTCTGTTCTTGCAGTGTTCTCCAGATGCTATTTATCTTGCCAGACATGTTGGTTTGCGCATTGGGGTGCCGGTTGCCGTTCCTGCCCTAACAGTCAACAGATTGTGTGGATCAGGCTTCCAATCTATTGCCAATGGATGTCAGGTACTTCATCTGACCTTTCAGTAACTTGTTATTCTATCAAGCTACTCTGCCCCTCTATCTGTCTAGTGCAAGTCAGAATGGCATGCAGACACTTGCACAGACTCTATCCCAGTGCCAGCCTGGAATGTTTAAAATGCATGGTGCCCTTCTTCTGTTTTTCACAGACCCTTTTAACGCTTTCAGTTTTTTAGTCCATCCTCTAGCATGGATCAGGGGGCACAAAAAAGCCAATGAAATGTCCTACGAAATTTATTTCTCCAGCCTTCTAAGTTCAGCATGCGTTCAGAGATGGACTTTGAGCATGCCAGAGCATGGAGTTATGATGCAAAAGGTGACTAGTATCAAGGATTGTTTCTTTTTGTGCTTTTGCTGTCTGAGCCCAATGTAAGAGATTTTGCTGCTTCTTGGGTCAGATGGCAGAAGGTGGATTCTGAGTTACGTACATTTAAAGAACAAGCTGGGAGCAGAAACGGGTGACTGAGGATGATCTCTTGCCCCACAGGCTCCTCATGAGGAGTAGACGTCTGAGCCTGTAGCACTTTTCAGAGTTGGAACTAGGGTGGGGAATGGAGATATTTTCAAGAATTTGCAGAAAGATTGTTGTTTCCAAGACAGACAAAGGTGTGTGCCTATACCTAGACTGGAGTTCATACAAGACACAAATCGCCTTCTGCTAAGGCTGTCCCTCCCGATAGCACCACCTAGCTCATAACACCCAGTCCTTGTTCTAGATTTGCAATGGATTCAAGTGTTTGCTGAAGCAACTATCTTTTCCAGTTAAGAATTTATGCTTTTAATCTGAAATGGGGGTATAATGAATGTCTAATGTTCTGTTTTTTTCCTTCTCACTTGAAACAGGAAATTTGCCTTAAGGAATCAGAGGTAGTGCTGTGTGGTGGAGCTGAAAACATGAGTCAGTCCCCATATACTGTTCGAAATATCCGCTTTGGAACAAAACTTGGTCTTGATCTCAAGGTATGAGCGTGAGTTGCTTTGATGTTCTTCTTCTTGGCATCTTTCTATATGTACTTGATTTCTTTTTTCTTTCTTTTTCTTACATTTTTTCTTCCTTTTTTCATCTTGAATAATTTGTCTATTGATGTTTAAAAATTTTGTTATATTTTATATGTTGTTATATATGTTGGAAGCAGCCTAGAGTGGTCGTTCGACTAGATAGATGGGGTATAAATGCAATAAAATAAATAAATTTATTCTATAGATATATAACAATCTATGTAAGTATATATATCGTAGTAGAGCAGAGACTGGGCTTGGTGAGCCAGAGTAGCATGGCCTTTGGAATAGCCAGGATCTGGATCTGTTACCTCAATGTCCCTGTTCCCTCTCAACCTAGCTGTAATCTTCGCAGTAGTGGGTGTAGGCGGGTGATGGATTTCCCAGCCATGACATATTCTTGGGAGTGGCCACTGTTGTAATGAAGGCTTTGGGGTGGTCTTGAATGGGCCGTTAAGATCCACTATCTTTGCTAGCGACTTGCTTGTAGGAGAAATAAAACTGCTAGCAGTGGATGACTTGAGTTTTTGTTTAAGTGTTTTTCTGTAGTGGCGTGAAAAGAAACTCCTGGAAAAAGCTTGAGCTGGCAGTTTTCATGCTGTACATCTTTTTTTTCCCTTTAGTTGTGAAGTAGGTCTCCAGGCAAAGGCCAACATGCTGGCTACTGCGCTGCCCTTTGCCACCTCTATATTCTATGGCCATTAACTGATTGTCATAAAAAGAGTATTCTATCCTGTTGCTCTGGTGGGTGGATGTACATATGCATGGACACAAATAAGAGAGAGTAGACAGAATGGAGATGTCTGCATTTTTGGACATTTCTTGGACACATTGTCATGGAGGGTGTCACAATGAGGGATTGTACTTCAAACTGTAATCCTGAATCACTCTTTAAGTATCTAGTCATGCTTGGCAGGTATTTTGAAAGCTGGCTTCTGTAAGGAGATGGGCCTTTACTCTTCTCAAAATGAGGAAGAGTCCCTATTATCTCCACTCCCTGCTAGTCTTAAAGCATGCTTCTGGCTCATGTCAGAGCAAAAAGCAGAATAAAGCTGCCCTATAAAGTGACTGTGGCCATTTCTTTTCAGAAATTCTGAACCAGTGTTCCAAACTTACATTGAGAATGTATCAACTTGTGGATTCCTGGAGTGATTTCACCTGTAAAATGATGCTGTTTGTGTATGTTTCCTAGGCGAAAGTATGGTTGCTTACGTTCATTTGGGACACTCTAGTAACCTTATTATCCCTGCTGCCAAAGTACTGCCCCACTGCCATAGGGCAGGACAGTTGGGGGCAGCAGCAACAATTACATCTGGAGCAGTAGAAAAGCTAAGGATGGTTTTAATCCCAGGAGCTCTGCTCACAGGGCAAAAAAAGAACATAATCTGTATCTTTTTTAAAAAAAACCAAACAACTCAAAGATCAATAGTTATTTTAATTTTTTACTTAGGGAATCATATTATGGCCTATAGCCTGCCTTCCAAGTTGGGAATCTGTCTGATCTTGTTTTAAAAACAATCCTGTCCCCCCAAACATTTTGCAAAGACAAGCCCAAGTCTTCAAACTGAATAGATAATGAAGGTCAAGCAATAGTACTGTGTTCTGTTCTATTTCTGTTGGTGAGAGGGGCCATGTGCTGTTTTAGAGCTCTGAAGCTCTTTGCAGGATGGGGGAAAACTAGTTGGTTTTTTCTGCAGGGACTGGTCATGAATTTCACATTTATTTCTAAGTAAAAGTGGACACTTCAGAATACAGAATTCCACACCTGGGTATTAAATTCTCCATTTGTTTGATGTTATGGACACACAGGAAGTATGAAATGTCTGTGCCCCTATGTTAGAAGCATGGAATAACTATGGAATTATACCAACGTTCTGAAATGCTCTTGTTTATTCTGACATCCTGTTGCATTGCTTCCTAGCTGGAAGATACGTTGTGGGCGGGGTTAACAGATCTGCATATTAAGACCCCTATGGCTATTACGGCTGAAAACCTTGCTGCGAAATATAACATCACAAGGGAGGAATGCGATCGCTATGCCCTGAAGTCACAGCAAAGGTGGAAAGCTGGTCAGTAAACTGCAGATATAATGGATTGGAGGTGTACCATCCATTTCAAGTAGCAGGTGTAATTTTCACAAGTACCTAATGATGTAAGTGTGCCTCTTCTAGGTGAGGAGTGCAAGGCGGAGCTCATGGGCTGCAACTACTCCCTCGAGGATCCAAAATGCAGCTAATCCAACAACCTTGGGCATCAAAAGGACCCCTACACCCTGAAAATGATTTGCTCAAAAAACCTTGCACCTTCTAGAGAACATGGGGAACAGTTTTACCATGATACACATATAGGTGTGCAACCCCACACTCAAACAATTAAAATTATTTTTAAAAATGGTTTGCCTCCAGAGGACATAATTTTTTTTCAATAAAAAAAAATTGCAAAGAGAAATGTGGGTGGTGAAGGGAGTGGGAGGGGGTGCAGCCCTCCAAGTTCTGGGGGTTGGGCATGTGTGGCAGTCAGACCGCTACAAGTTGCCCACTACTGGTTTAGAGGGTACCTCTTGAAGCTGCCAGGAGGAACTAGCAGACTGCTTGGATGAAGAAAGAAGTCCTGATGTAAGGGAGACAATGCAAAATGGAAGAATTCTAAGCACAGAAATACGTTTTAAGTATCAGAATTAAACCGAGCTCACCGTTTTTCCATGTAAAGATTTATTCCTGGTTATCTCCGGGTTTCTTCATTTTAGGAATAAAATTTGGACCAGAGGACTTGGAATAATTCTGTTGTTATTGACTTTCTGCTTTTGGCTTTTGCATGTTTGTAGGTGATGAAGCTGGTTATTTCAAGGCTGAGATGGCACCTATTGAAGTAAAAACGAAGAAGGGCAAGCAGATTATGGAACAGGACGAGCACCCCCGACCCAAGGCAACAATGGAAGAGTTGGGGAAGCTCCCTCCGGTGTTCAAGAAAGATGGAACCGTCACTGCTGGCAATGCCTCGGTGAGCCATGCAGTTTGAGACTTTGGACTAAGAGCAGGTTGCGTGAAGAGTTTAAAAAAGGCCAAGGCATTTGCAAGTCTGCAAATGATTTCCCCTTTACTCACTGTACACATCCATGTTTCCCTTTCCCTAGGACTGAAGACAGACTACTGTAATTTTTAGTGCCATTTTTGTAGTGGGTTATCCTTGCCTACAGAGTAGGCCCATTTGAATCAAGATAATTTATGGAGTACGTGACTAATTGGATCCCCATAAATTCAGTGGGCGTAAAGGTAAAGGTTCCCCTTGACACTTAGTCCAGTCATGTCCAACTCTAGGGTGCGATGCTGACCTCCGTTTCCAAGCCATAGAGCCAGCGTTTTGTCCGAAGACAGTTTCTGTGGTCACGTGGCCAGCGCGACTAGACACGGAACGCCGTGACCTTCCCACCGAGGTGGTACCTATTTATTGACTCATATTTTTTTACATGCTTTCGAACCACTAGGTTGGCGGGAGCTGGGACAAGCGACGGGAGCTCACTCCGTTGCGTGGATTCAATCTTACAACTGCTGGTCTTCTGACCTTGCAGCACAGAGGCTTCTGTGGTTTAACCCGCAGCGCCACCACATCCCTTCAGTGGGCCTACTTTAGTGCAATTTATTATGCTAAGCAACAGGTTTTTGGTAACTGTCCATCACTGATTGCTTTAGCTTAGGCTGGCCTTCCATAAAAACATCCTTCAGGGCAGTTCAGTTTTTCTAGTCCAGGGTAGCTATTTTGATCCAGCAAAATGTGTATGTTTATTTTTTTTTCCCAGATGACCCCCCCTTTTTTTCTAACCCCAAATTAGACAAAGCAGGGATCAAAGGGCTCCCTTTTTTGCTAAGCCCCGTGCCTTCGCGAAAGGCAAGGAAAGCAGCTGTCAAAGTGACTGCCGCTTTTCCTTACCTTTTGAGAAGCCACAGAGCTTGGCAAAAAGGAAAGGAGCAACACCTCCCCTTCCTTTTTGCTAAGCCACATGCCTTCGCAAAAGGCAGCGGTAAAGAGCTGCCTTCTGTGTATGAAACAACCCTGAATTTTTTCTCAAATTATTTAAGGAAAAGGTGTTGTTTTATAACGGGAAAAATACGGTATTTTATTCCTGATGTTTTGTGTGTTGTGCTTCTCTTTCTAGGGGATATGTGATGGAGCTGGTGTGGTGGTCATAGCAAGTGAAGATGCTGTTAAGAAGCACAATCTCACTCCTTTGGCTAGAATAGTATCCTATCATTCAGTTGGATGTGACCCCAACATCATGGGCATTGGTAAGCCACAGCCTCAGTTACATGCCTGCTGATAGAGCAAAGCAGACCCCAGCCGGTACAGGACAAGTCCCAAAGTGCAGGCACGGCTACGAGCGTCAAACCATATGTCGTGGGAACAGCATTCTGAACCAGTGGAAGAAGACATACTGGTTGCATTTGCTTTCTCCCCCACCTCCTGTGTTTCCTGTTTCATTTTTCTTTTTAACCCAGACCTGCTACCCCCACTGAGAAGAAAAGCAGCCCAATATTCATGAAAACCTAAAACGAGTGACCTGAAAAATGGTCAAAATTGAAAGAGCATGTCTGTGCAAGGAACGTACTTTACAATGAATAGTTCAACAGTCACAGAATGAAACAAGCATGGAGGAAAGGAATTTGTCACGGATAGTACAGATGTTATGAGCATGATCCAGCAATCAGGCCAGCATATTTTATGCAGCTCAGAAAGGCGATAGAAGTAATGTTATTTGTGTGGTGAGGAAATCCTTCTCCCACATCAGAACTACTCCCTTGAAAGAGGATATGTCAAATGGGCAGGTCATGGGCAGCCAGGAAAGCCTCTGTTTCTTCCTTTTTCTTCTCTCTCCCTCACCCATCCCATGCAATAAGCACAAAGTAGACATGGTCTAGAGGGGCGGGGTAAAAATCAAATAAATAAATAAATAAATAAATAAATAAATAAAATATGAAATATTGTGAAGAGATTGTATAGCACACATCCAATGTTAATATGTGCAAAATCTCAAAATAAGAGAGCTTTTTTTCTTTACAAGGAGCTTTTTTTCTGTTGGGCATGGAACACATGAGATTCATCTTAAAGCTGAAAGAGATTGTAGCTAGCCTCTGCAATTCACTTTGTGAGTCTCAAGGATAAGCAGCTTTCAGATATCAGAGGGGACTAGACCATCCGTGCTGAAATTCAGCTGCTTATTTTACCATTGCTGCCAAAAATCGGTGGCAATTGGAATAGTACTCCATTGTGCAGGAGGGGATAGAAGGTACATTGTGCACCATAGACCCCTGTGAGGAAGCAAGGCAGAGAGTACCCCAGAAGTGAATGAAAGAAAATGAGACAATTATTTGGGTTTGTTTTTTTCCCCTGTGGCCCTTCACATGTGAGTGTTACAACTCCTAGGCTGCCTATGAAGCACTGAAAAGGAATTCCTTTGTTTATTCATTCTTTGTTTTTTTAACATAGGTCCAGTCCCTGCTATTACAGAAGCACTGAAGAAAGCTGGCCTGTCTCTGAAAGACATGGACTTGGTTGAGGTAGGAACGGCTGTGCAGAAAGCAAAAGACTCAGATTGTTATGGTGCAACTAGGTGTACAAGATGTCAAGAGTCTCAACGGGTGTTCATGTGTGTTGTTTGTTACATGCTCCCTCCATTACACACTGCACATGAATGGCTAGGAGAAGAAATAATATTTTTATCTTTATAATAATACCTTTGAACTAGAGATGGAGGTATTTGTATATGAATATGAATACCCCCCACCCTGCATAGATGGCGTGCTCGTCTTCCCTCCTTCTGCCAGGAGTGGCTAGCTGACTAGGTGCTCCGGAGCAATTGGAAGGAAGAGCGGGGCCGGCAGTGGAAGCGGATGCATGAGTGGATGGGGCCGGCCCCTTGTTAACTCCAGCTGTGCTGGGGCATTCGTCTACAAATATCCCCATCTCTACTTTGAACTGCAGAGCTGGAAGGGACCTTATGGATCATCAAGTCCAGCCTGTGTCAAGGAGGCCCAGTGGGGAATTGAACTCCCAACCGCTGTAATTTAAATAAACATGCACGCACACAAAACCAGCACTTCTGGCAAGTTCCCCAAGTTATATGCTAAGTAATTCTGAAATTTCTAGTATATACCTTTAGTCTGTGATTCCTTTCCCCAAGCTGCATCCTACACCACCTTTTAAGGTGTAAGAACTGCCTTTAAGGACAGCCCCAGGTAGAGTGTTGCATAGCTGTCCAGCTTGAGAGTGTTCCCAGCTTTCCTTTCTCTTTTGTGTGTTTCAAGGTTAATGAAGCTTTCGCACCACAGTACTTGGCAGTGGAGAAGGTTTTGGGTCTGGATCCAGAGAAAACGAACATCCATGGGGGAGCCATTGCTTTGGGTCACCCTCTGGGAGCATCTGGTACAAGGATCACTGCTCATCTGGTTCACGAACTAAGGTTAGTACTGTATATGGCATTCTAATTTTTGTCATTAATATTACAGAATATACAGTGTGTTTGAGAAAGGTCCTAGCTGAGCGGCAAAGCACATGCTTTCCTTGCAGGAGGTCTCAAGTATAGCCCCTGGCATGTCCCCTTTAAAAAAGAATATGGTAATTGATGATGGGAAAATCCTCCCCCTGAGATCCTTCCTGCCAGAGTAGATAACAATGGGTCATATAGATAGCCTGAGCCAGTATTTTTACCATGGTTTGGGGATCTCGAAGATAGTTTGGACATGTGAGTGTATTGATTTGTGGACTGAGCCTGTTTTTTGAGCTGACTTGAAGAGATGCGAGTGATTTTAGTGGATAAACAGGGCTGTACCTGGTCAGTGCCTAGATAAGAATCCTTCTCAGAACCCTGTCTGTGCCACCTTGAACTCTTAAGACAGGCAGAACACTAGTAAATACAGTGCGTGCCACCTTGAACTCTTGAGAAGACAGGCAGAACACTAGTAAATACAGTGGTGCCTCGCTTGACGAGGATAATCCGTTCCAGCAAAATCACTGTAGAATGAAATCGTTGTCAAGCGAAAGTAAAAAACCCATTGAAATGCACTGAAAACCGGTTCAATGTGTTCCAATGGGCGAAATACCTCAGTGTCCAGCGAAGATCCTCCATAGGGCAGCCATTTTCCGGTGCCTGTATAGCGAGGAATCCATCCTAAAACACAGCGGGGAGCCATTATGCACAGTGGGCAGCCATTTTGAAAACCCGACAATCAGCTGTTTTGATCGTTGTTATGTGAAAAATCGGTTTCCAAAGCAGGGAACCGATCGTTGTTAAGCGAAAAAAACCATACAAACAATACTCATCGTTAAGCGGTTTCCTCACCTAATGAGGTAATTGTCAAGCGGGGCACCACTGTAAAACAATACTGGCTCTTTGCAGCTTGGCACAGATCCATAAGACTAGTATAAGGTCCAAGGGGTGGCTGGCTCTATTCCCTACTTCCAGCAAGTATGCCAGGCTGCAGAGCTACTGTAAGAAGCTCCAAGTGACATCCATGCAATACAATCCTATGCTATGGCCATCCATACCTGTAAGTTTCTTGTGGAGCCAAAGGGCTGTTAGAAATCAAGTAACAGAATGATCTAATCTACACCCTTCAGCATATTCCTTTAGAATATAAAACAAATAACTGAAGCCATTACTGCAGTGTCTAAAGATCTTTTTTTAATGGTTCTGTCTTGCTTTTTATAGGCGTCGTGGAGGCAAATATGCAGTTGGTTCTGCTTGCATTGGAGGTGGCCAAGGTATAGCTGTCGTCATTGAAAATACAGCCTAAGAACTTCAGTAACCAAACATTGAACTCTCCAGCTATCCCTTCGCATGAAGATTTTAGAAGGGAGAGGATGGCTCCTCTTGTCTGCAAATTCAGAAACTCAGCAGCATTAACTATCAAGCAGACTGAAGGAAGAAATGCAAAATAATTTTTAAAGAAAAGAACTAAATAATTTCTAATTTGACTGTGTGGATCTAGACATAATCTTCCCTGATTTGCTACCTCCTACTAAGTTTAATTTTTGACACACACAGAGGAATTTTCTGGAATAAATAATAAACTGCCTAGTATTTACTAAGTGCAATTCATGTCACAGCAAAGATGTGCCAAGACCAGCGTTCCCCAACTTGGGGGGTCAGGACCTCCAAAGGAGATTGCAGAGTGTTTTCTTTTTGGGGGGGTGTCACAGGATCGCCTTATATGTGTTGTAGCCCTTGTTAAATCATTTCTTCCCTGACCTTTCAAAGTGGGATATTAAGGTTAGCATGCCTGTGTATGTATGAGAAACAGCTCCTTTGGGGGAGAAAGCATCTTTTACTTTCTGAGAAGGGACGACTACCACTGAATTGATATTAAGGTTAGCGTGCATGTGTATGTATGAGAAACAGGTCCTTTGGGGGAGAAAGCAGCTTTCTGAGAAGGGACGACTACCACTGAATTTCACTGGAACTTTTCTGCAAGTTATAAGAATTTTCTAAGAATTTTGCACCACCAGAAAATGCAAGCTTTTGTTATATGGATTTTATATAAACCGCTTGACCTGTATAATCCTTCAATGAGGGCTGTGAGCAGTGTGTGACAAATAACCAATGTGCCTCACAAAATAAAAATAAAAATTATACTGAACTCATGCGAAGAATTTTAGTCTGGTAGCCTCGTGAGCAATCCTGTGGTCTCCAGAGAAAGGAACCATAGGTGCTCAGTTTTTGTGCCTTGGCCAGTCCAGCCTGAAAGAGCATCAGAAGCAGGGACTTCTTCTTTACAGACTCTTCAGTTCCTTAACCACTTCCCTAGGATTGCTCTGCTCATTGAGGATATGAGGTAGTTGTTTTCTCTCTCTCTTTTTTTTTAAGCACAGAAAATCTGTCGGCTTTTTTCGTGAAATGGAAGCCTACCTAACTAGCTTAAAAGGTATCTGGCAGCCTTTTAAATAGTACAGCTCTTTCAGATCCATCTCCAGCCACCAGATGGTGCCTTTTCACCACATTGCTTCCTTGTTGCGCTGATGAATGTACTCTTCCTGCTTTGCTGGCTTCTGTGTCTATAAATTAAGGAATTGTTTCTCCATAGACAGTTGTTATGTTTCAGGATTCCTTTGTGGCATTAGGGACTACCAAAGGACACTTTTGAAAATGTAAAATACAATTTTAAGTTTTGCTATTTTTATTAGGATGGATGACTCTTATATATGCTTCAGCACAGCTCCGAATCTTGACTGTCTTCCTGTCTAGGGTCAGAATGGATTTCTTTTGCATGAGTCCAACTGATCAGAGACCCTAACCACTGTGTCTGACAAGGCTACATGTATGTGATTTTGTCCAAGATACCAGTGGTGTTCATTCTTATCTTCTGCCAGGTTGCCACGTTACCACCTACCTCATCATACATGCTGATATACCTCACACTTTAAAAGCTTGGGATGCACTGCTAACCCACCTTCCCACAGGATGTGTAAGAGAGTTTCTGCTTGAAGAGTTGTACACCTGTAAAATAGTCAGTAGGTAACCGTGCAGAATTATGCACCTTGAGCATACTAAGACTGCAACCTACCAGTTTCTAGTGGACCCTACGTGAGCACTCATCGAGTTCTACAAGATCAAATGTCTACCTGGTCAAGGAAGCACAAAGGCAACAAACCACTACAACTCCCAAAGCTTGTTGGCTACAAAATGAACCCAGCTAGTCAAGAGCTGGCAGGGGCTTACTCGCCCAATCTCATTTAACGAGGTGTTTGGGATTCAAGCCACACTGGCATGCTCACCCAAGACAAAATTTTGAGTATTAGTTTTCCTTTTCACTGGCCTGTCATTCAGCCAAAAGGGAGTACACCAAGGTTACGCTTTCTGATCCAGGGGAGATATGCTTTCTCTGCCTAGAATTTACATTTTGTTCCATATATTCTATGCAAGTAACATCTGACTGACTAATTATGTTTGCTGCTATCCTCCTACCTAAACACAAGGAGGAAAAGAAATCACTTAAGTGCTTCCTTCCACTTCTGTGGAAGGTCCTTATTGCATGTCCCACCTGCATAACCAATTTCGCAGCCAATGTAAAGAATGGACAAGGAATGGGGCTCCTGCTGGAGCAGGGGTACTTTTGCACAGTTTCCCTTTCATTCTGCATTTAGGCAACAGGATACCTAGAATCCTGTTGGCAAGCAGAGCATAACAACATCACAAGTGGAACGTTCTCCATTTGCCCTGCTGGTTTCAAGGCAGAGATTGCTGGATTCCTTTGCAAAAGTGGCAGGAAAGGGGAAACCACATGAACCAATCATTTGACCTGTGATTCCTCAGGAAGACTGTGGATATTAACCACTGATTTCACTGATGGTATGACTATGCAGTAGAAAAAATGTAAATTGATCTGCTGCAGAACTGCACCCAGGAAATTGAATTTTCCCAAGTTGCTTCAGCCAACTACACTGGAGTCAGCAAACAGGAAGAATTTGCCCGTCGGCACTTATTTATTTAAATATTTTTATCCTGCCTTTCTTCTTAAAAAGAACCCACTTGTTAGCACCTTGTTAAGGTAGCTCTCCTGCAGCCATCCAGATTTGCAGGAGACAAGACTATAGTAGAGCTAGCTTAATGAGCTGCAAACAAGGGTTGGCTGCCAGTTTTCCCTTCTGCCAATTTCCTCCTCACCAACTCTCTTTTCCCCCCTCCTAGATGCTCTAGTCTAGTGCACCAGAGCTTAGCATCAAGCCTTCAAAAATAAATAATTTGGGGGCAGGGGGTGCTCAGCTAAGAGGAACTGGGACTCCATGAATTCTCTTTTTCAACTTCTCAGAGCCAGCTTCAGGTTGAACATCGCATCAGCTCAAGCAATCACTGCCAGATCAAATGCATTTAATTGGGGGGTGGGGAATAGAGGAAGGGGAAAACTTGGAGAGAAAACTTCAGGCTGATTCACATTGACTTGTACATCATGTAAGCAATTGGAAATAATATGAATCTAGCAATCCTAATTCTGGAACCTTTCCTGCCTTCTTTGTCAATGTAGTCACCCTTAATTTTATTTAAAATTCTGCATTTGCAATTATTGGCTTGATGAGTTCTTCTTGTTTGTCTCTGCCCAAATACAGCCCTCTTCTCTCCAGACATTAGGCTGTACTGTCGTAAAATGACTTTTCTGTTAAAACCTTCCTTATGGGCAAATCTGGTACAGTTGCAAAGCCATTTTTAATGGGCTTTTCATAGGATCTTCACTACAGTTTCTCTTTTGCGTGTCTCCCAGCTTTGGGCAAGTAAAGGCAGTTTCCCTTTTCACCTAGAGCTGACAAGAGGTCCTTGGTAGAAAGGTTCTGACCTCTCCAAATTGGCCAGACAAGGGCATTCATGTGCAGATTAGCCTTTGATAACAGTCCAACAGATATTGACCACAGCTTATAAAGGAGGAGTCCATTAATTGAGAACATCACCCCTGCTGCTCATATTTCTACAACACTGCTCTTCATGAAAAACAAACTTTTAACTTTCCATAGCTCATCTTCTTTCAATGTATTTTTTTTGTTTCTAAATTGCTGGATCGAAACAAGCATTTCTTCAGTGTCGCTCTGGTACGATTTTATCAACCTACCTATTTTGTCTTGGTCTCCAGGACTACTGTGTTCAGCAGCTTTGCCAGTACAGTCTTGGTACCTCTGATTTATTTGGCACCACTGTAAGGCACATGATCAAAAAATCCCTTTAACTCCTTCTCACTGAAGGTTGGGGGGTTTGTTCTTTAAAAGAGTTGTTCCAATTGCAATACTTCTCTGGTTTGCATAATATTGTTCTGACTTAAGAAGGGAGACGAGAGGTCTCTTTTACATGTTTGAAAGAGAGAGAGAGAATCTAGAACAAATTATTCAAACAATGGAGACTAAAAGATAGCAATTTGCAAGGAGCAAACCATCACCCAGCCTCAAGATAACCAGTTCTGGGGCATTTTTCCTTCTTATACACCTAAGTAGAAAGGCATCCTGTAACATGCGTGCAGCTAAAGACACACTAAGACAATCTTCCCCATCTTAAGCCAAACTACAAGTTCCAACAAATCCACCCAGACAGTTGAGACTCAGAGTCCAACCCATCGAAAAGGAACCCATAGTTTGTCAGCAGTGTTAAAACTAAAGGTGCCTGAAGTAGATTCTTGGGGGTGGGGGGAATGAAATACACACACAATATTTTTGCACCTTATTCTCCCTAATGCATCTTCAGTTTTTCCCTCTGAGAAGCAGGGAAAGAGTGAAAGCAGAAGCCACAACATTTGTAATGATTATTTGGACAGAAAGTTGACTCAACCTTCCGTCCTTATCAGGTTGGTACACTGCGTTCCCAGCTCGCTTGAATGTGTGGGTGGGCGGGCGGGCGGGCAATGTGTAGCCCGCATACACATTGTGGCAGACTGAATATGTAACGCCTTGTCTTAAAAAGCATTTCACTCATACCAAAAGAGAAAATATCTCATTACAGTAGGACCTCCATATTTTCTGGGGATTGGTTCCACACACACCCCACAGATATTGAAAACCATGTATAATAGTGAAGACTATAAGTAGCATGGAAAAAGAAAAAAAGATTTGTTTTCACATGTATTACCAAAACTGGCCACTAGAGGGTGTGACGGACTGTTATACTTCACTGAGAAGTATTCATAGCACGACATCTGGTTCATTCTAGTGGCTGGTTCTGGTAATACATGTGAAAATAGTTTTTTCTGGATTTTGTTCTTTTAATATTAATATTTTCAGACCATGGATAAGTGGAACTGTCGATACTGATCCCATGGATAAGGGGGTCCTACTGTACTATGTTTTTCTTGGTTCACTATATTTTCCACTTTTCCACTGGAACTGCAAACTTCCTTTACCTCTTCAAATGTTATCAATAGGGAAGCCATAGATGACTGGGTGGCTTGACATGCCATATCAGTCAGAGTTCTGTAGAGCTCCCTGGCCGTCTTTCTGTCTAGCATTCTCTCCACATCTGGACCAAAGGTTGGTTGGTTTGTCTATCTAGGTGCTCAACTTCAAAGGGGTGGGCAACTTGTTTTTGGATTGCATTTCCAAAAGTGTAGCCAGTGGTGAGGATAGTGGACATTGGAATCCAACAAGATTTGGAGACCCGTATGTTCCTCACTCCCATTCTTTATAAAGTTTGCAGTCTCCATCTTGTATGATAAA